TATATCATCATCATCCCTCCTCATAACATGTCCAAACCACGCTAATCTTTTACTCCTCAATTTCTCGATCACTGGCGCTACTTTCAAACTTCCTCTAATATACACATTTTTAACTTTATCCTTCCTTGCCACACCACACATCCATCTTAGCATACGCATTTCAGCTACATGCAATCTTCTTTCATCCGAAACCTTGGTGGCCCAACATTCAGATCCGTACAATACGACAGGTCTTACGATGGACTTGTAGATCTGTCCCTTAAGTTTCATTGGCATTCTTGGATCACAAGTTACACCGGTGACCTGTCGCCATTTCATCCAACCTGCATTTATTCGGCTTTTCACATCCCGGTCAACACCGCCAAAAAAAATTAACCAATGTGACAATTAACACATTACATGTCGCCACTTTTTCATAAGACATTGTTATCCGTGGCGAGACGGTGGCACTGGACGTGTTAAGATTGTTCATGTACTGTTGCAGATATAACAGGGGAATGGTTCCTCATGTCTTCACCGAAACCTGTTCTGTTTACTTTAATAATATACTTATTATTTGTTCTAAAAATTGGACCTGAATTTATGAGGAACAGATCTCCATATAACTTGAAAATCATCCTCGTTGTTTACAATATACTTCAAGTTTTGATATCAACAATTGTGTTTTACATCGTAAGTATATTTATTATGTAAGATTTGTAAACAAAAAATTAATATGCAAAGTTATTTATATATGTTACTTTGCGCAAAAACCCAATGGTAAAGGAGTTATGCGAGTTTATTCTAATTATTTCTGCGTATTATTTCTTTGTAATTTCTGCTCTGGACCAAAGCCTAATAAGTTATTCTTGACTTTAATTACAAATATATATTGCACTACTAAATTCAATCTAGTTAAGACAAAAATTACCTTTGCGTTTATTATTATGCGTGCTTTTTCAGTCAACGGATCATATACTGAAAAATGGTTTGATAATTCGACAACAACAATGCGTAACAGAAAATAAAGAATTTAAGATAAAGGTTAGTGAAAAAATTATTTATTTGAAAAGTTTTTTACAAGAGAAAATAAATGACAAGAGAAAAAAATTATACAAAGAGAAACAATTGGATTATTTTCTAGATAAATTTAATAAGGATGGTGCCTTCCTTATATGGTCATTTACATAAAGATAAAAAATAAACGTTGATGTTATTAAAAGAGCCTTCGTAAATAGCAGTCTTGTACAAGACAAATTAACGCGCTGTCCCCTTAGACACTGGCCATATCTAATTGAGGAGACACTGCTTTTTTATTTGTAAAATGTTTTTTGTCCAATAAATATTTTTTTTTTTATTTCTCCACAACATCTAACTAATTCCTAATTTTCAGACGGCGTCAATAGTTTATTATTATTTCTTGGCGAAAGTAAGTGAATTATTTGATACGATATTCTTTGTACTCCGGAAGAGAGATCGTCAAGTATCGTTCCTGGATGTATACCATCATACTTTCACCGTGGGCTTCAGTTGGTGCACCGCGAGGTTCGATCCGGCGTACATATTTATCGTCATTGGTGTTGTCAATTCCTTTATACACATCATAATGTACGCTTACTACGGACTGGCCGCTTTTCCAAATCTAACGAAGTATTTGTGGTGGAAAAAATATATTACGAAGATGCAATTGGTAGGTTTAAACTACTTTATTTGATTCACATTAGAATAATAAATTTAACAAGATGAACGTCCAATATGAGTAGCACTGTAGTGTACATAAGATAACTTGATTTTTAAGAGTTTTTGAACACGACAAATTATGCTTTCTTTTTAGCTAGACAATGTTTGCCATTTTCAATTGTTAAAATTATATTCATGTCGGTTACTGTCCTTAAAGATTTATTATAATCAATATCATTTTTTCTTAATTACAGGTCCAATTTTTCTTGATGATGTTTCATTTGATATCAAATCACAGCTTATCATCATGCAGGTCGTCTAACATCTGGGTCTTCCTCCTCATAGCAAATAATATGCTGTTTGTCTATTTATTTTCAAATTTTTATGTCAAAGAATATCATAATCGTCGACAAGCAGAAGAAACTGCTCATAAATATATTTCTGGTGTAATCAATAGCAATAATATAAATAATTACAAAAATGACAAAATAAAGTCTATTTAAGGATATCTTTTCAGTTAGTCCATCTATTCCCCCTGAACTATACCCCCAAGCATATGTCCAAGTATTCCCCCTGTAGAAATATTAACATTCTTTGAATTTTTGTACAATCGCGCCGAAAACATTACTAAGGACACTAATAATTCCCACAATCATACAACAAAAAATGTTACATTGTTTTACTCCTGCAGTATTTTTTTTATATTTCGTATAAAGACAATGATCAGTTACGTATATACGTCCGGTGGCGGCACCGACTAGTTTCGAGCCCATCGGGGGTCCTTCATCAGGATGAGTGGCACTGGTATTATTTCGCGGACGCGGCCTCACTCACTCAGAGTGAGCGACGGGCCGCGTCCGTTTAGTTTAGTATAATGTCTCACGAAAGTTTGAATAATTTAATGATCAGTTACATTTTGTACTACATTTATAGATTTTTGTTTTGTTATTCAAGAAATGAAGTTTGTTTTAATATTATTGTTTTTTATGTATGTTTAAAAAATGTTTGACGTTTTAAAAAATATATTTTAAAAAACTAATAACACTTTTATTTCTGATAGTACTGTTGAAAATGAATTGACATTATACAGAATGTTACATTTTTCATCGGGGTTTTTATTTCGGTGGAAATAGACCTGGGGTACAGACGAACTAATTCTTGTTTTTTTATCATATAAAATAATTTTGGTCCAATGTTAATAAATGAAACTTAGTTAAATATAATAAAATTTTAATGTATACATTTCATTCAATTATTTCTCAACACCGTATTAGTTTTTACCTCATATTTTCATTAAAAAATATGAGGATTTATACCTTAACTAGCGGACCCGACAGACGTTGTCCTGTCTGCACGTCTTTAATTCGAATATTATTTAAAATTTGACACTGCGATGGTAGCGCCGTCTGTCGGATCCAATGTAAAACATTCCAAAATCAACAACTACTAATAAATTAAAAATTAATTAAAAAAACATTGTCCAGCGGACAAAATTGTGAATCTAAACTATTCTCAGATCCCCTTGAACACACACAAAAAATTTCATCAAAATCGGTCCAGTCGTTTGAGAGAAGTTCAGTGACATACACACTCACAGAAGAATTATATATATAAAGATAATCCTCGACGAACAACCTAACTACTTCTGTGTTTTTGTGAAAATAGCAGCAGATTATTTTAAGCTATGATCATATCTACATGGTCTTATTATTAGTACTTTACCGGTTAAATTCACCGACTTAAGAGCCACACCCGTACTGTTTGATCCCGTACTATGGTAAATCCTAACAATTACTGGTAACACCTAAGATTTACCGATAAAATCTAAGGTTCACAGTCAGCATTTAGGAAATATAAGTATGTCGCAAACAGAATAAGAAATTAATTTGAATAAACCGAAATCAGAAACAATCGCCGTCAAGTGTTCGCAGACTTTTTGCATGATGACTGACTTATATCATTCTGGAAATAGGGGTCGTAAACCATTTTTTTCTGAAACCTACACTATCTACGGGTAACATAGGCTGTATTTATTACTACTCTAGCTCGCTCGGTGCCTACCCAGATTCTTCTCAGATATGTGCAGGTTGCATCACGATGTTTTCCTTCACCGTAAGAACGTCGGATAAATGTACATATGTAAATCGGAAATCGAAAAACACATTGGTACATAGCGGGATTCGAACCCCGGACCTGCAGATTGCAAGTCAAGTGACCCCTGAGCCACCGACGCTATTAAAAGTCCGTTTGGAAGTTAAAAAAATTTAATTACTGGAAATAATATTAAAATGTAGTTAGTTTGGTTTAGTTTTATTATATAGTTTATAGTATTATTTTGGTAGTTTAATTAATTAGTCATTTAATTACTGTAAGAATATAAATATAATTTATTATCTTATAAATGTAGTACGTAATCAAATTATCGTTGGGGGACAGCGGCGGCGTCCCGACAGTCATACGTATACGCATGTTTACAAAGTCAAGGGTCGCGGCTAACTGCGGGAGCGGGGGAACCACGGCGGGCGCGCAGCCGGGCGGACTGTCGGGACGCCGCGCCGGCGCCGGCGGGGCACGCCCTGTCCGACAGATGGCGTGAACTCTATAACAAGCAGATAGAGTTATGTGTCGTAGATTATATCAATACTAGCGGTCGACCGCGACTTCGGCAGCGCAGAGTTTATAAAACAGAAATACATACAAAAAATTTAAAATTGTATTTTCGTCATTTGAATGTAAATACATCACGTGACACTCCAATTATATTAATGTGTATACATAGTTTTATTATTTAATAACTTAGTGAAGACGTTTAAATTCATTTATTCACTGAACCGAATTGTAAAACGATGTTTTGTAATTAAATGGAATATATTATTTATTATTAATTTTTTTTTTCCACAAAATGGATATTTCCTTTGTTAAAATAAAGTCTTCACAAAAACACAATGAATTATCATAAGAGACAAAAAGTAATTGGAATTCCTTTTATTTTACACCCGAGTTTACATTGGTCGATATAAATTGAGTCCTTGCGTAGTTTGTTTATGAAGAAGACGTTTTCGGTTAATTTTAAGCGAAAACTATTTTAATTTTTAATTTCAATAATACAAAATGAATAATAATATTTTAGAGAATTATTCCTTTTCCGAAAATAAACCCAAAGGTAAGTCAAACTTGGAAATTAAAACTTTTATTAATCGTAAGCCTTATGAGTCAGAGATGTATCGATGACCTATCCTATCGTTAAAATAAAAATAAAAACTTAATTAGTAGATTCCAGTATTCTTCCAGACTATGTAATACACCTATGTCAAATTTCAGCGAGATCTGTTGAGCCGTTTTGGAGATACGTTCTATCAAACATCCATCCATCTGAAGTTTCGAATATATAATATTAGTACGATTTTCTGAATATTAACAGTTTTGTGCACTTTTTAGTTGAAAACATTGAGGAATGGTCCGTAATGTCGTCTCCAGTAACAATAATTATTATCGTGGTAGCATATCTAGGATTTGTTTTAAAACTTGGACCAAAATTAATGAAGAAAAGGTCAGCTTTCGAATTAAGAATGATGCTTGTTGTTTATAACTTGCTTCAAGTGGGTGTTTCCCTCTTCATATTCTGTGTTGTAAGTAACCATTTTCTATTATATGCTAGAATTTAAATGAAAGGTTGTCACTTTGTCTGTCCCTGTCTATTATTTGTTAATCATGTCTGCTTAACTGAAAGATATAAGAATAAGAATAGACTGAAATTAAGAAAGTGAATGTACAAAATCTATAGTGCCGAACCAATCGATACCAGACGGTTATAGGTTTTGCCTACTAAATCACCAACCATCTTATTATTTTTGACCAGCTGTTGCCCGCGACTCAGTCCACAAGAAATTAAAAAAAAAATAAGTTTCCTATGATTATTCTTGACTATTTTCTACATGTGTGCTAATTAAAAACATCCGTGCCGGAGATACCCTCTAATAAACATCTATCTAACCATTTATCCATCCATCCATCTAAAGTTACCCAATTATAATATTAGTTTAAAACAACGAATATTTAAACGGGAAGAGATAAAAAATCATTTTTGACTAAATTCATTGTTATTTTTTTACTCCTTCATTTGTGCTAAAATAAAATCAATTTGCATAGTTCTAAATATTCCCACTAATTTTATATCTAAATAAAATTTGAATATTTGTTCAAATCACGAATATGTTAAATAAAACAACGTGCTATTTAGTTAATAATTTATAACGTTTATTATCTATTCAGGGAACTAATCTTTTACTGCAAAATGGTTTCATAATTCAACGTCAATGTGTAGCAGACAATACAGAATTGAAGATAAAAGTAAGTATTTCGCAATATGTTAATATATTCTGTATTTTAGGAAATATTTCTATATAAGAATGTGCTAAATAACTATACTAACCGTGGAGTTCTGAGACCAAAATCTCTCTATAAAATATATCGTCGTCCCTGTCATTATCTTTGACAAAACAGAGATAATATGTTTTAAATGGGGATATTGGTCTCAGAAACTCATGCTAAATGATTCTTAGTACGTAACAATTGGCACCATATGAATGGATTGGTTCATTAGAACATTGACTATTACAGAGATGTGAGAAATATTCTATCGATTTTTTTTTAGGAAAAACCAGCGGAAATACCTTATGAATATTTTTTTATATTATATGGTGGCAAACGATCAAGCGGCCACCTAAATTTAATTGGAGAGACACCTCCATTCATCTCCTGTCCTCTGTCAAATCCACCACCCACGAGTGTGAGTGTGAAGGGAAGGTAGACTAAAATTAAGCGTCCTCAACGCTCACTAGACGAAACGCGGAGTTAGTTCCACTTGATGCCCGTCTTCTGGGTTATCATAGTTTTGGACCTATCAGCCAGCTAATACATGCATCAGATCGTTCCTGGCTGCCATTGTTAAACTGATGTTTTATATTTACAGACGGTGTCTATAATTCAATACTATTTCTATGCGAAAATAAGTGAATTGCTCGATACAGTTTTCTTCGTGCTCCGAAAACGAGATCGTCAGATTTCATTCCTGCATGTTTATCATCATACATTCACTCTTTTGGTCACTTGTTACACACTGAATTATGATCCAGATTACTGTTTTATTTTCCTGTGTACACTTAATTCCTTTATACACATCATAATGTACGCTTACTACGGACTGGCCGCTTTCCCAAATCTAACGAAGTATTTGTGGTGGAAAAAATATATTACGAAGATGCAATTGGTAAGTTGAATAGGGTTTTAATTTTATAAAAAGCTGGCTTCTGTCCGCAAATCCGTCCCCTCGTAATTAAAAAAAATAGTAAGTAGCGTATGTGTTCTTCCAGACATTGATCTGCATTTGTGTCAAATTTAATCGCGATCCTTTGAGCCGATTTGGATGTAACAAGTAACAAACATCCGTCCACCTAAACTTTCTCCTTTATAATTTGTATAATATAGCTACTACATTAGTCATCGATGTACTTGTTTTATAAAATTTAGTAAATTGTAAATGAAACAGAGAGAGATTTTAGTTTTAAAACATTCTATAAATCCAACACAAAAACCAATATTAATAATGTCAGAAAATAACCACGCATTTACATCCGTTATCAATAACGTAAAAACACTTAATATTATATTTTCAGATACAGTTTTTAGTGATGATAGTACAAATGCTATTAAGCCATCAGTTATCGTCCTGCAAGACATCTTACGTGTTATTCGTCTCGCTAATACTATATATATTATTATTAATTTATTTGTTTTCAAGATTTTACGCCAAGGAATATCTTAAAAATGACAAATCTTTAAAAACAAAACAAGTAATGTAAAAAAATAGTAATCATGCAAATAAAGAACTTAACAACATAATTAATAATTTTACAGATGACACTAAAAACTTTGATGTTATTGAGAAAAATAAATAATTTTATAAATATTATTGTTATACCTATTTTGTAAAAATGGCTGTTGGTCTTCTTAGGAATAAATAAATTACATTGTTCTCATGTTAAATTATTATTTGTGTTTAAATGTTTTAATATGAAATATGAAGAACTTTTGTCTTATTACATTTTATTTATTAAAATATGAAGGTCTAACCATACACTTAGTCGTTGTTTCAATTACAATTTAGCTTAATTTTATATCAACATTTTTATCGCACGCTGATATTAGACATTATTATATATTATAATTATTTTAAGATATGTAATGCATATGAAAACATTTCTCGGGCGCAGAAGATTCGCCGATAGTCTCATGACGTTAAGCATCGATGGTAAGTAAAGTTGACAAAATAGGTTGTTGCCTTAAATTAACTATTTTAAAATTTGTAAAGTAAAACTAAGAATATTCTCTGTCGAAGTTACCCACAGTTTCTTCTCATTGGTATTAAAAAGACGACTGAAAATTTTTTAACATGTATAAATATTTAATTAATTACTATTACAAAATAATAACTAACAAGAAACAATAAGTAAAACTTAATAAAACAACAATTAATTAATTTGTAAAGAAAGAAAAAAATTAAAAAATGCTTATGGGCTGCGTTAACTGACGGTACTGATCAGAGGAGCGCGCGAAGCGACGGATGTTGGGGGGGGGGGGGTTAACGGCAAACTTTCTGTGCGCGGCTAAATTCTTTCAACCTTCTTCTATATCCACACCGTTTACGCCCATAATATCAATAAGCGGCGGTCAAAGGGTTAAAACACAAATTTAACTAAACAGTGTCAAAGTGTCTGTTTGGGCGTGATGTAGTGTAATTTACTGCGGTGCCTAAAAACGACATAAAAATCTCGCAATTGACATATATTCGCGAGTTGCAGTACAAATATGAAAAATCCCTCGCCGCAATGTTAGTGTGATAATTAAACAATTTCAATCTCGGCAATATTACGTGTTGCAATATTAGGAAAGTAAATATTTTAATAACCAGAATATAAGCGTGCTATGGAAATGTCACAGCCATGAAATACTTTAAATGTAGGAAAATTATTAAATTATTTAACATTTAACATGATAACATTGTACAACTGTCTTAAAATCGAAATCACTAAATGTATACATGGCGGAATAAAACTAAACAAAGTGTCAAAATGTTACATGTTGCTTTGTGAATGACAAATCATGATTGGTCAATGATAGTCACAACGACAATCCTCTCAAGAAATCAGTATGTTCAATTCCATTTAATAAAAAAAATACCTATATGTCTTAAATACAATTACTCTAATTTATTAAATAACATCAATAATTAACTAATCTACTTTGGTATCTATTTTCCCTTTAGTACAATTATCTAATAAAATTTTCTTTTCACTTAATTTTTGTGTATTTCGATATGAGTTGATATAAAATTGTCCGAATAAATAAATGAAGAGTGCAGCGTTTAACATGATTGTCATCAACAAAGTATAGGAGGGTGGACAGCCGGAGAAGAATTGACTCGCGGCCGCATGCACAATGATGCACATAAATTGAATCTGAAATACAAAGTATCCATGATTGATCCATAGAAAATAGGGGTACGTGTACACTAGAACATTAATGTAGCGTTAATCGTTTAACAGATAAACGTTTTATTCATAAAAAGCAAGGAGGGAAGGAAACAGTTTCTAGAATAGTATCTACTTCGAGTGTTAACTATGGTTCAGAATTTAAACTAAAGGTACTTACCAACTGCATCATTGTGATGTATTTCTTCCACCATAAATACTTCGAGAGATCCGGAAACGCTGATAACGCGTAGTAAGTGTACATGATGATATGGACAAATGAATTCAAAGTTCCTAGGAATATGGTGCCGTAAGATGGTTCGTACTTCAATGATACCCAACTGCCCCACATCATGAGGGAATGATGGTAGATATGTAGAAACGTCACTTGATTGTATTTCTTCCGTAAGACAAAGAAAATTGTGTCCATTAGTTCCGTAACTTTGGCGAAGAAGTAATAATAAATGCTCGTTGTCACCTAAAACGGTATCTATTTTATTATTCAAAAATTTTGGAACTATAGTTACTTACAATCATTAACTAATATTATATTAAATTACGTAAATTACTATTTAGCCGACTTCTTTCATGTAAAGGTATGTGAAGCCCAAATTCATATTAATATAATCGTAAAATAATAATATGCATACAATGCACAATATACAATTGACTTTTCAAACTTAGCAGGTCATTGACCTCTTTTGACGATGAATTTAAATCGTATTGTAAATTAAATTAAGAATGGACTAGGATATCCGAATAGAATGCCTAGAAATCCCATCCTTTCCTTATAAGAAAAAAGGTGGGAAGGGAAAGAGGTCTAAATTAGGCCTCCGGGACGCACACTCATCAGACGAAACGCGGAATTGCTTCCACTTCACGCCTGTCTTCTGTGTGGTCGTGGTATTTCACCGGGCGAGCCGGGCCAATTCGTGCGAAGATAATAAAGCGGGCTCTACCACTGTTAAATACATAATAACATGAAACTTACTTTCCACTTGGTATCTTCAGCTTCCATGAGACAGGAGGAACTCAGCAGTCCATATGTAGATATCAAATTGTGACCCTGCAATGCAGACGTAGAAAAATACTCTAATCAATAAGACAACTACAATTTACGCTTAATCTTGTTCACTCATAATATTTCTACTAAATTACTTTTTAAATTATAACTTTAGTTTGTAATATCACATCTCTTTATCATATAAATTTTATGTAATTTGAAATGTCCATTGTTACTCCTATGGCGCACCAAATGTCTATGCCGGGCATAAATATTTATTTTGTTTTTATTCATATACTTACAATGTACAATAGAGCACAAGAATAAGCCACTTGAAGGATATTATAGACTGTTATAACTGTTGTCAATTTAAAAGGTTTTCTTGATTCCATGTATTTTGGTCCTAGTTTTAATACGAAACTGAGATAAGAAGCTGTCAGGAAAATCATTGGCAAAGGCGTTTTCATCAGGAACCATTGGTCTACGTAGTCCACTGTAATAAAGAAATGCAAACGATATAAAAAACTTTAATCGCCAACTCCTTAGACTCCTCCTCATTGCTATAAGCTAGCTACTCGTATAATGCTAGGAACATATCTGCTACGAACTTACCATAATAATTTTTATGTGCAAGACCTTATTGTGATACACATGCTAACATCAATTTCATCACCATCAGCTAACTAAACTTTCCATCAGGAGGCTCGGAGCTTACCCTAAGTTAGAGGCGACTGGGCCATAGTCAAACATGCTGGCACAGTGCGGTTTTGTACATAAATTTAATACTTATTGAAACGAGATAAACCTTAGTTTACTAGTATATAACCTAAAGCTTAGTAAACCGGGGCTATGGTTGCCGTTTGCTTTCTCTTATAACAAATTGTCGACCAGATATTAAGGCGGTCAAACCTAAAAATTACTCTAATGAACCCAACAAATTATAGAACGATGTAAAAAAGTCATCGGTCAGTTCAATGACCTAGTCACTTGATGTTTCGTAAACATTATCGTGGCTTTTTTATTGTTGAAAATTCAATTAAAACACGTCTTTTAATATCTGTATAATCCATAATATATTAAAATCTTTGGATTTTGTCGTAAAAATGTATTGTCCGTATCGTAATTTACACAAGTCTAGACAGACGCAGTTGCAAAGTCGAATATGGTGTATTAAAACTGAACACGCTGTTCTAAAAAAGTCATTGAGACTTATGAATTGTAAACTTACTATTCTTCACATTGTATTACTTAATTGATAATTACTTTTAAAATAATATTTTTAGTAAGAAAAGCTTTAATAAAAGATGATCTTAAAAGAAACACAGTCAAAACTGAAAATCCTTAAATGCCTTTGTTCTGCACCGGCAAAACTTCAAAAAAGGACGGACAGTTTTATTTTTAAATGATTAAACTAAAAACACAATTCAATAGAATTAATATCACAATTATTTTCAATGTTGCTATTATTGGTGTTATTAATGTCGATATCATAAAATAAGTCAATAAAATAGCAAATAATTACATAATAAAATAAATATTTTTTAAAAGTAAATTACAATATATAAATATATAATATATAAATAAATATAATCTTACATTTTCCGGTAAAATTCCAAACGCTGCCATCTTTTAAAGTTTCGTTCTTGTGTAGTAAATCCATCGCGGCTAATTGATCCAATGTTGTCGGAGTTAATAAATTTATTTTAAATAAAAACTGTAAGTCAATCAGTCAACCACATTGAATAGTATTTACGAAAAATCAATTCAACAAATAAAATTTAATGAAGCAATTATGTATGTGTCCACGATCGATGTGATCTTGTTTTGTTCTACTTGAACCCACGATATTACTGCATTTTTATTGGAACAAAAGAAGAGTTGCAACAGAATTTTTATAAAAAATCGTGGTTGCCTATTGGTCGAAATTCACTCATAATTCTCAACCAAAGGTTTTTTTTATTACAAATATCTTTATGCACTTTAACTGTGTACTTTACGTTGATCCGTCGGCACAATTATAAAAAGGTTACAAAGTTTTCGCTTCACGTATTAATATAATAATATTTAAAAACTTTATGAGGTATATTGCTGAGTTCTCTTTAAGAAGTTTTTATGTTAACAACTTAATATCAATTAGAATTATAAATTCAACCACGTAAAACATCTTTGCCCAGTTTATTCCTACTTATTATTTATTTACATTCATCATTTTTTTGTGACATGCAATACTTTAATTATAAATAAAAAAATAGAAATTTGGAAAAACATATCTAACATAGTATTTTATTGTTTATTTCGTTATGAGATAAAGTGTAGCAAACACACCGCTGCAGCCAAATTTAAAAATGGAATAAAAAATCTGTTAAATAAAATATAAAAAGCCGATTGATTGTATTTTACTAATTTGACGATATACTGGTCAAAATCGCGTGCAAAACACTCATACTTTCAAAACATACATACAAAAATCAGTACCCTCCTGAGACAGTCAAGTGAGAAGAACCCATAGATTACATACAAAAATAGAGGATTCAATACGAGAGTTCTCCTTTTTAAGTGTTTAATAAAAAAAAAACAGTTCCATTAAAAAGTTACATGTGGTACAACACATTTTGACCTTCTCCATTCAATACGTCTCCAATTATTGTAAACCATTTATTGTTATTTGCATTTAAAATAACGAGTAAACAAGATAAAAAAAGCATTTAATGGTAAAGAACATAAGACGTAAAAATTAAAATTACTATGAATCGGTCGGCTCGGTCCGCTACACAACACACAGAATTAAAGAAGTAAAAGTACGCGTCCTAAATTAAACACTAGATGGCGCTGATCGAAGTTGCAATGAAAATTAATAAAAAAAACGTAAAAGTACATATATATATAAAGAAAAGTAATGTAGATTAATAAGACTACAAATTGTAGAACAATAGTTATTTAAGTTACAATTAAATGTGGACAAATATTCAATAACATACTGGCCACATCAATAGACAAATATAAATAGCAAGAAAAAAAGAATACAAGAGTGAATTAGGCGGGAAACTGTGAAATGAGAAGCAAACAATATAACAACGATTATTTATGATAATGCATTTTGCATAATTGTAAATATTATAGGTATTAACAACGAAATAAATAACTGTTAAACAAAAGCACTAGTTTAGTCGAAAAGTAAATATTAATATAATTTATCATACTAGTTGCGGCTGGCGGCTCCGTCCGCGCGGAATTCAAAACAAACTTAATAAGAAGCTTGCGTGTTCATCCAGACTATGTTCTACATCTATGCAAAATTTCAGCGAGATCGATGCAGCCGTTTCGGAGATACCTTCAAAGAAACATCCATCCATCCATTCATCCAAACATTGAACAAGAAATAAGAAGTAATATTTTTCTTTGGTACAAAGTTTAAACATTGATTGACGTAGTAATAATTAGGTACTACTAACATGTACTTGTCTAGATTCACTGAATTACTGTAATTAATAAAGTTCAACTGTCATATAATATTATATTGAGGGAAAAATTACGCATTGTAAATTAACATAACAGGTTATTGACGTACTTAATACAGACAATTTTAATACAATCAAAATGAATCGAAGGAATTATAAACATATAAAACATTAATAGGTACAAAAGCCAAGTTTATGATTTTTTTAACACTTGTCAATATATTATGAAAAATCTTTCTACATTTATAGCCACCCTTACTGTGTCGATTATCTTAGTAGATAATAACAAAATAATAAAATGTGATTAATGATATATCAAATGATTAAAAATATTGCTTTTATTAAAGTCCGACCAATCACTACAAAGAACTTTTACAAAGTATGCCGTCGCTAAACTATACATTTGATCATTTCATAAAATGCTCGAAAAAAATGAATAAAAATAAGTGTTTATGTCATAACATAATTGACGAAGACTTTTAGGGCTTCACAATTTTTTTATACAAACATTGAGTTTTTTACCTGCACTTGGAGTTATATAAAGTTTTCTCCGCAGGGTAATAGATGGCGCTGTAGCGTATAAGATCAAGTCACAAGTTCCTACATGACATTCTTAAGATACTTTTTAGTAAAAATATAAGGTGCCAAATTCATAAGACAGACAACAACGACAGACAGACTTTTTTTAGGGTATTGATGATTGTAGCAAAAGCTATGCTATATGCCGTACTAAACGCATAGTCTCAAACTAAAGTCTGGCTACTAATTGGGGACCCTGATAGATGTCAATATTTTAATTTAAGAACTTAAAAGGCAATATTCATGGTACTTACGGTTATTGCTTATAGTTTTTACCTTACATTTAAAAATACAAGTATCTAATATTTCATTGTATGATGATGTAAATTTAAAACGTTTTTTAGACTTTAATTATAATCATTGCCAGTGCGTGGAACATCTGAAGGTACTTACTTGTTTATTGTTATTTTCTAGCTGTTTATTTATTATATAAGCAATGACAACTACGGATGTAATTTTTTTACCTTTTATCTGACATTTTTGCCTTTTTGAATTTTAAATAAATATATTTAAAGAATATTTTTTTAATCAAACTTTGAAAGCATAACCCGTTGGCAGATTTAACTTTTTTTATATAGTCGTTAATTATACATGTTATTATTTATAATTTTGGCATTTTAATTTTTCTCCCATAATTGCAAGAAACTATTGTAATTTTTTATACACAACTATATTATGTGAAAATCTTAAATATTTTTTTTTAGTTTTAAAATAAGGTTATTGACCATTTCAATGCTTAACACGGGAAACTATTTATATATCTTTATAAACAAAGCTATAATACATTTATGAAACAAACTTGCTTATTATGTTTAAGCATGTAAGTGTATTAGGATAATTTAAAGACGATAGTATACAATCTTGTTGGGGGTAACGCTTTTTCAAAGATATACCTAATACATAAAATAAGAAAATATGTTGTTTACTTTAGTTAATAAGTCGATATTAACATATAATGACATAGTAAAGACTAACCCTAAAAAGCGTATAAGAGTTAAGGTCAAACAATTGTTTAATTTTTTATTTGGTGTCAAAGAATATTTTTTGAAAAAAAAATCCTCAAGGCAAAGTAAACTACATCTAAATTTTTTTTTAAGTAAAGAACACTTGTACTACAGTGTAGTAAAAAGCATTGATATTTCATCACAATGACGTCATAATCATTGCAACACGGTTGCAAGCGCAACTTTACCTTGTATCATGACAATTTATTGAGCCGCCTGTATACGCAAATATTCGATTTGTTAATTATAAAGAAAACTAACTGTGGGTTTCTGAGAGCAGCATATCTGTTTTAATCGTCATCCCTGTTATTATCATTGATAAAATAGTTGTGATATATGTTCTAAACGGGATTTCGGTTTCAGAACTTCATGGTGACCGCACTATGGCACTCGGCTGAAGAATACTTATCCAATGATTCTTCACTCGTCAAGGTCTTTGCATTAATTTAGTCTACTGGAGGAATCAATTAAATTGAAATTCAGAAAACATCGCGGAAAACCTTACCCTTCAGAGCGAGTCGGATAAAAATACAAACATCAGATACATATAAAATATTCGAGGAGAAAGGATACGTTCAGTACGATAATAATCTGTTGTTACTATGGACTTGTGTGTCATTGATCGATTGTGTAATTAATTAACAGACGGACAAACACAATTGTCTTTGTCAATGACTAGCCATTTACACAAGACACCTAAGAATACCAAATTTAATTTTGTTTGCTGAAAATGATGATTGTTTAAACAATGTTTTTTTTTAATGTTTTTAATGAGCTGTGTAAACAAAACGTAAACAACATTCACATATGACCTGAATTATAATGTTTTTTTAAGCAGGACAATTAAATCAAAAGTGACCATGGACGTAATCTAGATTTCTTCATGCCGAATAATAAAGGGTATTGGCTTCATCGTTTACTTATCTCATTCAGTCTTGAGATGCTTCGATTTGCTTATATACTAGAAACCGGCACTACCAGTTGCAACATGTTCCCACGGAGCTGCTTCTTCCCCATCTTATCTGTCGAGCATGCCTCTAAGTTAGGGGTGACGAGACCTCAGTTAATCACGCTAGTCCAGTGCGGGTTGAGTTCAAACATATCTTTAAATTTCTTAGCAGTTTGTCCCATGTTTTCCTTTAGCGTAAGAACTTAAAATTCGAAAAACACATCGAACCCAGGACCTGCAGATTACAAGTTAAGTGCTTTACCCTTGAGATACTGACACTTAGCCCGAGTTGTTATGTGGATGGAGCGATATTTCTATACGAATACATTTTGGGTCCTTCCCAAGACGAACCCATTAATTTTATAAAATTTAGGCAAAATATAAACATCTCATTTCACATCTCACGACATAGTGATTGTTTAAATATTCATAATTTATATTGTAATATAAATTCATAAAATTATATCTTAAAATTATATAAAGGAACATCGTTTACACCGAGATAAACTTATATCATTAAATTAAAAAGAATCTTTGAAATTTTCTAAATTCATTTGTGGATTTTTTTTGTGAATAAGGCCTAGAATAATATATATTTACTCATGAAGTTTTATATGGTGGGCGTGAAACCCATATAAATTTAAAGAAAAACCAATCGCTTAGTTTGTTTATTTATGGTATAGTGTGTCTATTTAAGGAAGATTAGTTTGACAATTCACTAGAGATAGGTTGATTAGATAAAATCGGCTATAAATCTTTTTAATTTTCGATGGTTGTTATCATAGAACCTCCAATCATATTTGAATTACAATATAAATACATAGTGTTGATTCTTTCTGCACAAAACACGTATAGTGGACGATAAAAATAAAATTCTAGATTAATGAAAAACGCGTTCGAATCTCATTCGCTATAATTTTTTGTCAAATCTAAAATAGTGTTACATATTAGAGTTTATTAAGTTCAAATAAATATCTTAATCTTTGTTTTAAAATGCATCCATTAGTGTATCAGTCTGTCGGGTTTTATGTTTTTTTTTAATTTAAAGTAAGGCGTAATTTAAAGGAAGGCACTCAACATTCTGATATTTCAGGGATTCGAGATGACGACGATCTTCGACATCCGGCAAACCATTGAAATCAATTATATAAACATAAAATAATAACTTTGAAAACTTCCTAAGATTACATAGTCACATTTATGGGCACTAAGGTTTGCACTGAGATTGAACAAACACTCGTACGTCATGCAAATATTTGCACTGTCGGCTTAAACGGAAAATTGATAACTGATTTTTCCGGTTCGTCGCAGTGTTAACTATACTAACTCCATACTGTGAATAAACAAATATTCCTTTGATAAATCTGAAAAATGCCAACAATAATAATTATCCCTCGAATGTACCGGAGAGCAGAATGTCACGAAACTCACAGAAAAAGGCGTGAGGTAGTCTTCGCATCTCGTGAGGTTCCCGAAACATAATTTCAACTCTCTTATCCTATTAAGCAAAGAATAAAAGGCTCAGGGAACTATCAAGGATACTATCTTCTGTCTATCTAAGAGTCGACTAGAAACCAATGACGTATTTATATCGTTAAATTGGATGTGCACTGTAAATATTCCCCCTAATTCTCAATGTTCGTACACGTATTTGCTAGTGTGTCTCAGCCCTATAGGCGGTCGATAAAAGCGCGACGGCTTTTGTCACATGTACACATTGTTACGAACGCACAGCGTAATCAGACTTGAGCAAGTTGATATGGTTTATACAAGAATACTAATCATTTTAAGTGATTTATAAATATTACAATAATATTATTATTGTATTGTATTTATATACATCTTAGTATTCAGTGAGAACGAGAACTTCTAAATCTAACTTAGTTATTTGTAAGTATATTTGTTATTTAATTAATTTTATTATCATTGTTGTTCTGACAGCTGATAGAGTAGTCTGATATACGGTAAGCTAATAAATGTCACCGTAAATTTGTAACCATCTTCAATTTAGAATCTCACTAATATTTTAATAAATGGATAGAAAAATTAGAAGTAAGCTAACATTTAAGGCATTTTTCCTAAGGTTTTGAATTATTTACTCTATGAACATTATCTTATGATATATCCTATCGAGACTAATACTGTCTCTTTTGAGTTTTTGCACATGAGCAAGGATAGTTCAAAATCCACAAATTGGCAATTTGGACAAGCCTTTTTGTGATACCTATTCTGACACCTTTAGTAACACAATAGCTGTCGCTCGCGATTCCGGTGACGGGGTTTTAAAAAAAGTAAGTAATCTATGTATTTTTCCAGACTATGTTCTACATTTGTGTCAAATTGCAGCGAGATACGTTAAACCGTTCTGGATATACCTTCTAACAAACATCTAACCATCCAAACTTTCGCATTTATAATATTATGATTATGATTATATGATTGTATCTGTTATTGTCAAAAATGTATCACTGCAATGAAATTCTAAGGATTAATTAACGTTCATTTGTACGTTTTTCTAACGCAGCTTTTTCGTGTTTTAACTATTAATATTATTTGAAAAAAAAAGTTTAAAATCACGACTATTTGATATTAGAATTTGAACTTAGCTGCAACTTTTAGTTTCTACAAAATCAAATTAGAGCCCAAAAATATAAATAAAACTATGGAAAGTTTCAAATTAAGATAGTTTTTGTATGAGACTGAGGTTATAAAATCGATATTTGTAGTGGGCAGACAAATGTGTGCCAAAATTAGAAAGTTTTAGCGTAGCTTTTATCTAAAAAAAATTAGATAATTAAAAAAAGGACTAAGTTTTATTCAAATGATCTTTATCATAATAATGAAGGAACGTATTTAAATAAAAAGTAAGCACTTGAAAAAAGTATTATCGCAATATTTTTTGAGTTGATTTTATAATTTGTTCTAAATATACAACAGTTTTTTTGTGGTTACCTAATATTTAATAATGTTTAATTTTTATATACTTAAAAATACTGAAAAATAAATGTGTCTATTTAACAGATCCAGATGTTGTGCTATTTTGCATGTTCCAATCTTTTATTGAATATATTTCTTCTTACTGATTGTTTGTTGAATTTTCTTCCTGGAACCAATCTTACGTCGGCAATCATATCGCTGCCGATAAAGTATGGAAAAATTATGCGTTTAATGCGATACTTCGAGTGCGCCCGATACCGTCCTGTAGACAATTAGCTTCAATGAACAAATGAGAGGATGTACCTATATATGGCTGTAACAAATATATCTTACTAATATTTTAAATGTGAAATATTAGATGGATGAAATTTGTTAGAAGGTATATCTACGGAAAAGGGTCAACGAATCTTGATAAAATACCGCGCAGATATAGAACATAGTCTGGAATATCTCATAGGCTACTTATTAAGTTTTTAAATACCACGCGAAATCCCGGGAGGCAGCTAGCCCTGAGCTGGCATAAGTACTTAAGTTGTTATGTAAATAATGTTTAGTCAAACTTAAAGCCTAATAAAATTGTCTGTGAATTGTAGTCAGTTAATTTATTTTTGAATCTATGTACGTAAATGGACGGGCGATTTAAATTTGCTGTAATTATTATATTATATAAAAAAAAATTATGTATAATACATATTTATAAATTAGCTTGAAATTTGGTTGGTAATACAATTGCGTCATAGTACTTTATCATAATATATTATATTTATTTGACAATGTTATAGCAAAATAGCCAGTTATTAAGCTAGCGAGTACTACATAGCTTTTAGCCACAACACTTAACATTTAATATACCATATTGTTAGTACTTTACAAAGTTTATGAGCGCAACAACAAAGAGGTTAATAGTTTTTCACCATAAAATTATTTCTCATAAATAATATGTCTTGTGAGACAAGAACGTGTCACGAGAATCAGAAACTATTGTTATCATCATCAGCTCACTATACGTCTCTACTGAGTGGCTCGGTGCCTATTCGAAGTTAGGGATGACTAAGCCATAGTCAACCACACCATGCGGGTTCAATAACTTCACATATATCTTTGATTTCTTCGTAGATATGTGCAGCGATGTTTTCCTTCAAGCAAGAACATCAGATAAATGTACATACGTAAATCAAGTATTGAAAAACATATTCATACATGGCGGGATTTGAACCAAGGACCTGCAGATTACAAGTCAAATGCTTAACCCCAAAGCCACCGAAGCTTTTACTTAACAAAACTACCCAATAATTAAATGTTTTTTTTTTTAAGTAAAATAAGTTTTCTGTATTGTATTAATTATCTTATTATGTTGAGTCCATACGAGTAACAATACTATATTGAAAATGAAATTAAAATTAATGCTTAGTTTTTAAATAATTAAATATAATTTTACGTAATTTAATTCTGAATGTAAAATAATACTTTAATAAGTTTTGGTGGAAGTTGTTACCATGATGAATTCTACTTTATGTACATAAATTTTATTAACGTTTATTTATTATTATGGTTATTATTTAGTCGTGGTAATATCTGCGCAACAGGGCATTGTTACTATGACATTGTGAGCATCGGAGAAGGAGTTACTGTACATGCCCCAACAACATTTCTTACTAATATTATAAATGCGATTGTTTGGATGTATGTTTGTTTGAATGTATCTCCAGAACCGTTGCATTGATCTCGTTGAAACTTGGCGTAGATGTAAAACATAGTCTGGAAACAGAAGTTGCATAGTTGCTTGTTAAAACATAGTTAGTAGAACGGAGTTGCGGGCAACAGCTAGTATATGAACGTCAATGTTTGTTTGGTTGGATGGATGTTTAAAGGTATCTCCAAAACGGCTGAACGGATCCTGCTGAAATTTGGCGGAGATTTAGACATAGTCTGGACGAACACATGGAATAATAATTAAGTTTTTTTTTCATTTCTCGCGGCAAAGTTGCGGCGACAGTATTGTTATAAACATTTAACGTGTTTTTATGACATTTTTTGCACACTTTTGTTTTACTAATATTTTCTTGTAAGCCAGACTTGGCCAGCGTGGTTGACTATGGCCTAATCACACTTAACTTAGGCTAGGCTCCGAGCCCCTCGGTGGTGACGTATAGTGAGCTGATGATGAATTCCAATTTAAATTTACTCATGATGCTATTAGCGCTTAATTATTGACATTTATGTTTAACTAGATGTCACCCGCGACTTCGTCTGCGGGGAATTAAAATAAAACCTTATTAGTAGACTTTGTGCTCTTCCAGACTATGTTCTACATCTAAGCCAAATTTCAACGAGAACCATGTACCAGTACTGGAAACACCAATTTCCAGGCATCCATCCATCCATCTAAACTCTCGCATTTATAATATTACTAAGAAGTAAAATTGACATAATTTATGAAAATTATACTAATTTTATAAATGCAAAAGTTTAGATGGATGTATGTGTGGATGGTGACCAAGTCGACGGCTGGATGGATTTGGATGAAATGTGGAATAGATACAGTCTGAAATTTTTAATAATGTAACTAGAAAAAAAAACATATGTTGTATACGCGCTAGAAACAACTAAGACTTTCTTCTTATTCCACGGGAATCAATGTCACGTTAAATGTAATGAATAAAATAATTTCAAACTTAGACGAATACAATCAAAGATTTGTGCAAACAGAAAATGTTCTAAACTCATCATAAGCATCTCAAACTCATCAATAATATGGTGATTAAAATAACTGTGGCTTGCGTTAATTATATAAGTAACTAATTATTTTCTAGCTTAATGTAAAAACAATTAGTTAAATAGTTATTTGTAACTAACATTATAGTTATAATCATCATAAAATAAAATTAAAATTGTTTCAAATTAGAAGTTGTGTATTAACACAAGCAGCATAATTTTTTACATATACTTAAAAACTTTATTCGTACCCTACGTGTTATTCTAGACCATGTTCTAAAACTATGTCAAATTTCAGCGAAATCCATCCATCCATTCATCCATCTAAACTTTCGCATTTATAATATTAGTAAGAATTAAAATAACCAATTTTTAAGCCTCAATAGCCTAATAGTTTTGGGTACGGAGTTCCGACCACGAGGTCGGGGATTCGAATCACGCCATTCGACTATTGCCGTACACCATATCCTTGCACAAGCCTAAAGCTTAGTTGGAATGGTTAAAGAAATATTAGTAAATTTACAAAAAAATCTGCTAATATTTTACTTAAAAAAAATTTATTAACATCCTTAAAACGTCAATGAACATGAAAAAGACACAAAAGGACAGTTTTTTTATACGAGGTTTACGCATTATACTTAAAAAGGTGAAAAAATTAGCGATAGCCAAAAAATCGCGGTAACAATTCCTAGTAACTGCGGGAGTTAGTGAATTCGTAATATTATTTTTAATACATTTTTATCACATTTAAAACTTAGTTTGTAAAATACCATTTATTTTCAACTTTATCTCTATGTGAGTTTGTATGTATGTCTATTAAATTGTGAACCGGTTGCATTTAAAATGGAACTATTTTGACGGGTTGGGGTGTCATAGGTTACATGTATTCAGACAGATTTTAATTAAATTATTTAAAGTTGTACAAGAACATTTAAATTCTCTAAATATTACACGTAAAATTCAATTGTATAGATATTTATTTTTAATATTTATAACCAACCTTTAACATGACAACTGTCTCTAATAATGATCAATTTTATTTTAAAGAAATAAACAAATAAAATACGGAGAAAAAGTATAGCTACAATGCCATTAAATATCAAATAATTATTATTTTAGTAATTTTATTAATTAAAAATGTGGACAGGTTTGGAACTTTAATCATCAATTATTAACTAATAAGTAATTATTGTAACTTTATTAGTAATTCTTGTAAAAATGTATAAAATTCTTAATCACACCATGTTCTAATCAGTTAAACTTTCATAACCTTATTCATAAATACAAAAGTCATGTAAATTTATGTACCTGCACATGTGCGTCAGTCAAGGATCGAATTTACTTCATTTTGGTTTCATTATTCGCTATGTTACATGTATATATACATCAGTTCGCTTTATGTATTGGTCATTTAGTATTCTGCACAAGTTCGGTGCTGTAAAGTGGCTCGTGGTAAACAGGCGCGGGCTTTCAACTGAAGTAGCAGCATTTGTTTCCAGATCGAGCCTCACTACCAATATGAATTCCAGTGGGGCGCTTGGACTTCGTATTCCTGAATGGAATCTGAACAAAAGCCAATGTAAGTTACATTTTTTAACAGCATATTCTGTGGCAGATAGCTTAGCATATGCAGGAAAGATCACGACTGTCCATGCGATAGTTTTCAGCTGGTCTTTTTTCCCCTCGGACTTTTTGCACCTAGTTAATGTTGTTAGTATCCAAAATATCTCGTATATCTGATTATTAGAACTGTAGTTTGACTCACTTCGAAACATCTCAATAATTCTTAAATTCAAAATTAAAATAAATAAATTATTATATAAATGAAGATTACGTACGCGCTCTTTTTAATATTTTTTTGGATTTATTAAAAAATAAAATGCATCATCTCAATTAAAAGTCATGGTATATTTACAAATTTGTAAATTATTTCTTTATTTATAAATTAACACATTCTTAGTCTTTTTACCGTTAATATAAATTGATTATTTAAGGGATAAATTATATTTAAAATTATATGCCCCCTAAGATTTTTTTTAATCGGCCAAAAATTCGCATGGCCGAATAAAAAAAAATATAAATTAAATTTTCCAATATATTTACAGAAAAAAAGATATAAAGCTTTAGAATAAATACGAGAAATATTTATATCTAAAATTGTGAGAATTTTCATATTTTAATCCAAAGTCGAAATTAGCTTGATTACCGCGGAAATAGGAACCTTTATTTTGTGTAAAAAATATTATATCGCTATCTAAAAAATATATTATAAATAAGAACAATAGAATTACATGACCGTCATCGAGAAGCGTTCATAGGTAAACAGTACAAGGGCATGATCTTTGGATCGTTTTGTTCAGAAAATAGACAATTAGTTGAGGTTAACAATACGTAATATGAATAATTAATAGGGTTCAGTGCTTCGAGATCAGGGTTTACTTTGGTTCACGAATGTTTGTTTACTTTTACAATGATCAAGGTCATGGAAGCAAAAAATAAATTTAGGTTAACTATTTAAAGTCTTGAAAGAAAACATGTATTTATGCAATTGCTAATCAACTTTACGTTCACAAGCAAACAACTTTCAGATGGTCTTAACCCACATTATGCAAACTTTTATCATGTAAAAACAAAAGTTCCTAGCGGCATTATCTTATGAAATAGCATTGTCCCTTTTTTAATTTTATTTTAAACCATATAATAAAAATAATATTCCGAGACCAAAAAACTGGACACCGCACTCAACCTCCACAGCGGACATCGACCGATTTCATGGTGACTTGTCGTCTTGGAACTTGGTGACGGACCAAAAGCAAATCTATTAATACTTCTGACCCTTTGTGATCCATTTTATAATTAAAATAAAAAAAAGCTAAAAAAAGCAAATCTTATTTTCAATACGGAACCCTAAAAACAAAAAATGTTATTTTTAGAACTCTTGTCAGGCAAAGTTGTTGGCGGCAAAAAGTTTGGCATGTGACTATTAATATTTGTTATAATGTTTTAGATGACGAAGTCGACAGCTTACCGCTTATAGCCAGCATTGGCCCAGTATTGACCATATTGGCCACATATTTAGTGTTCGTGTTGAAGATTGGCCCGGCTTTGATGACGAAGCGAGAACCTTTCAAACTGAACACCACACTACTCCTATACAATGGAATACAAGTTATTATATCTGTATATTTAGTGCAAAGGGTGAGTACAAAATTTATTATTAAACAAAATATCAGCAGTTTATACATTGTTAACATTCTAAGCAAGTTTGAAGCTAGTGCTAGAACAGGGACGACGAATCGATGGCCGCATGTATGCTAATGGTATGCGACACAATATTTTACCGCTGGTAACGACATTTGTAAGTTATGTCGGGCGACATTCGAAGCAACGACCGTTAGATTCTTAGTGGCGCTTCTGAAAATATTTAGTAATATTATTCTTACACACGTACTGCATAAAACATCACATATAAAAGATGTTTATATTTTTATGGGACAAATCGCGATAAAATTGGTAATTTAGTTCAATTGGAACGTGACATGTGCGACAATGTCAGATTGAGTAATTCATTTATTTTTTGGATGTCCAAGGGCATCGTTGATCACCTCGGTATTACTGACGCTCGTTTGTCCCTTCTCTTAAAGAAAATATTCTTACTTATATTTGTAAATTGAAACTGAACGAGTTATTGACCATTTGACATGTCATTTTTACATACATGTTACTAATATTATATGATATTGGGCGCATAGGGTATGCAGACGTAGAAGCGGGTGACAGCTATTTACAAACTGTTACACTCAAATTTTCGGTGGCTCAAGCTCTTGACTTGCAATCTGCAGGTCCAATGTGTTTTTCGATTTCCCATTTACATATGTACATTTATCCGACGTTTTTACGGTAAAGGAAAACATCGCGATTCAACCTGCACATATCTGCCAAGAAATTCAATGATATGTGTGATGTCAACCAACCCGCAATTGGCTAGCGTGGTTGAATATGGCTTAATCACCCTTTACTTCGGGTAGGCTCCGAGTCCCTCGGTAGGGACATACAGCTTATGATGATGATGACTCTCAAATTCACTGTTAAGAAAAAATCAAATTATCAAATCTGTTTCGATTTGCTGAAGTCAAAATAAATAAAAGAAATTAATAAACTCTACATTTATTCATGCTTTAGTACTGTAAAGTATCTGAATAACTCTATTAAAAACTAAGCAAAGTTTAAAAAGTTATCTAATTATTTAAATTATAACTCAAAACTTACTACCTAAAGTTGATTTGCATAACTAACTATTGATCATGGTACAACTGAATTCAAAATAGAAATTAATTTAATATGCGCATTTATAACATGGACATTTTTAATAAACAAACTAAAAATAAACATAATTTTAATCTATTTAATTACGGTTAAGTACATTAAGCAATAAGGACACATGGACGAAGGATTAAATACGTGAAGCGTAAACTTTGGATCCTTTTTCCTTGACATACATTTACCGCCATATAACCTCCGCCTCGAAATCATTGATTGTGCTGGATAAAGATATTTTGTTAGGTAAACGTTCACGTGGTATAAATTATAACAGTACTGGTGCGTGTCAGCTGGTTTACTGCAAGAGGCAATGTGTTACCAAATGACGTATCATATATTTTTGTACAACCACTCTAACATGGGTGTCAAATGCAAGGGCTTTATTAGTTGAGTACGGTGCATTATGAAAAATTCAAAATGGCCGCTGTACCAAAATGGCGGACTACATAGTTTTATAATTTTTTTTATCTGCCATCCGTTATTATGTTACACCCAGATATACAATATTTGTTACCTTAAAAAATTCAAAAGGTAAAGTTTTAGGTGTTGCGCAGAAGTTGTTATGCAATTTGCATTTTAAAGCTAAACGGGAATTGTAATTAATATTTAATTTTTCTTTCCAGTACTTAATGAATATACTCAACTTTGGATTACTTCCAAAGAAATGTTACATACAGGATGTTGAACACAGAAACAATGTAAGTATATATTTAAATTTAAAAAATATAAAGTTTTAACTCATAATTATGATGATCCTTGTATATTGCACATTATGTAAGATTCACCGATCTTTTACGACCATGTTCTTACGTCACCTGTATATACATAAGTATATATTTACATACTACATACATACAGACAATACCACACACTTTTTTTTATTTCAACAATTAAACACATCGTGAAGTCTGTATGAATAGTTTTAATGTGTAATTTATTTCAGATCCTGATAGGAATTTGGCTTTACTTCGCAGCGAAAGTCACCGAGCTCCTGGATACGATATTCTTCGTTTTAAGAAAGAAAGACAATCAGGTCACCTTCCTGCATTTATACCATCACTCCATCATGATGATTGGAACGTGGTGTTACATCAAATACTGGCCGTCACACACTCTCATTTTTATCGGCTTCCTAAACTCCCTCGTACACGTTTTTATGTACACGTACTATGGCTTGTCAGCTCTTGGCCCGAATGTCGCCAAGTACTTGTTCTGGAAGAAATATATGACAAAGTTTCAATTGGTGAGTTTTCTGTTATTTACAACATTATTTTCACTCATAATAAAACTACATTGAGGAGACTGCTTATGACTCTGCGATAATTACACATGTTTGTTGCATATAAACACGTGCGTATAAGTTGGCACGTCCGGCAAAAGAAAACTCTTGTTATGAGTGTGCCAAATCAAATGTTGGGCATCTAGTTTGCCAAACATAATTGTAATCGTTTGGCTTCGTTTGTCATGTCAGATCAGAGATATCGTTAGTTAGATATTACTTTTGTTTCAGGTACAATTTGTATGTATAATAATACAGTACGTGTTCGCGGTGAGAAACTCTGAATGTCCACCAGCGAAAGGTGTCGCCACATTCGTCGCCTGCAACACCGGCTTCTTCCTTGTTCTTTTCCTTAACTTCTATCGTCACAGCTATAATCGTAAATTAAAGAAAACTAGCAACAGTGTATGCCAAACAATAAATAAATTAGAAGAAACTAAAGACAAAAATATGTAAGAAGAAGTATTAATGTAAGAATAAAGTATTATATTTTTTAAGAATTCCCATAAAGGATTAGAGAAATAAACCCAGAAGGATGGATGCCCTCTATAAAGATTTGAGTTGCGTCACTTAATCGTGTGGTATGGTGGATATTCACGTTTGGTTGGATGAATTTGGATATAATAAATCACATAATTTTAATTATTTTTTGTCTAATTTATCAAACAACAAAGTTTCTGTGAATAATGCAAATATTATATTTTGATTTTGTTAGTAATATTACATAATTGTTATAATTTGAAAATAACGTAAAGTTAAAAAATCTTATGTTAAATGGAATAAAGCTCGTTATTATTGTACATATCTGCTGATTTTTTTATTGTCTAGAATATAAATACTGAAAAGTTAAGACATTTTAATTTTATATACATAAGTAGTTTTCCTTTATTTATTTAATTTAATCTTAACTACAGTTCCTAGGGCAATTGACATCAAATGTTTGCAATATAACAGAAATAATTAATTTAGAAAATTATGCCTCAATTTTTTATGATCGACGCAAAATATATTTAACAATACACACATAGTTTTTTATTTAAATAACCTAAGGAACCTTAAAAAGTTAATGGTAATTTTTAGTTGTTTATTTCAATGAATAATGAACATTGTCCGTGGAGTTGAGAAGTATTATTTTTTATTAAAAGACAACTGGAAGTAACTAGTCATAATTATGTTATAATTAGGAATTCATTTTTTTTATTACATTTTTGTTTTCCTCTTTTGAAAATCTTTACTTTAATTGTTGCTTACCATCTAATAGCAATCATATCCAAAATTAATTACATCGTTTATCTATCTATCATCTTTAAGCGACATACAATCCTAAATCATTTCTAGATTTACTCATGTTGACAACGCTCGAAGAGCCAGCACCTCATAACATTTATCATAACTAGAGTGTACATTTTAGGTGTTACTTATAAATATTGGAACCAAAGCAAAGTATTGATAATTAGTGTTTCTTACGTATTACTTCTTATATTATTTGTGATTCATCTTATATATAAAATTCTCGCGTCACAATTTTCGTTCCCATACTCCACCGAAACGGCTTGACCGATTCTCATGAAATTTTGTGAGCATATTGAGTAGGTCTGAGAATCGGCCAACATCTATTTTTAATTTCGCGCGGACGGAATCGCGGTCGACAGCGAGTAATTTACAAAATCAATGTATTACGTCACGTATATTCAATGTAACAAGATTTACAATGTTCCTATAAACAACGATACTGACAATTAAATAACTCGATGTTTTATGGGCAGTAAAATTATTACTTCACGTTATCTTGATTTCAATGAAGGGTTCTATCAATGTTGCAAATAATACTTAAAAGGATATAAAATCTTATGATGACGTTTGTTTTTTAAAATTAGCCATACACCGACTAATAATTAAAAAAGATACTTCTGACATATAGAACTAAACACTCTAAATTTACAATATAATACAGTACTGAAGTACCTAGTTTTTAATTAAAAATCATTTATCGTTAACTTTAAAAACCACTTTGCAAAACGCCTATGCATTTTTAATAACTTAAAACCTCATTGGTTTATCATTATTCCTTTCAAATTAAATTTAAGACGGCGCCATCTATTTACAAATAATGAAATAAATTCACTCTCCATTTTGTTAAAGCGCCATCTATTATTTACCAAAAACAACGACAAAAATTGCTATTTGTTTGCGTACTTTCTTGCAAAATTAAATTTGCCGACACATTTCGTATCCTGCAAATAAATAATAAGCAGAATATTTTGTAGCAACTTATGTAGTCAAAATTAAAAATACAAAAATTCATTCTCAGTTTATTTTATACGTCTTACAATTAACATAATACAAAATATACAAAATAATTCGACATTTATCACTTAAAATAAACGAAATATTCTTTTATATTGACTATGTACGTATTTCATAAATATTAATGAAATGCTTTTGCGTCAAACTTATTCTTGTTCAAAAATATTTTAAAAACCAATTAACTTTATACGTACAATGAATACAAGTGGTGGGTTTCTGTGTCTACAAAATCTAACTTTAAAACATATCGCTATCCCTGTCATTATCTTTGATATAACGGAGATAACAAATTGTTTTAAAGTTAAATTTTGTAGTCACAGAAACTCACAGTAAGCATAATGACATATTGTACATCAAACTTCAAGCTAATTTGGAATGGTTAAAAGAAATATTAGTAACTAAATTAAGTATTTTCAATCAGCTTCATAATTTTCATAACTAAATAAAAAAAAGATACTTAATAACTGTTCATTCGAATACCACAGAACATTTTTAAAATGCAAATCAATTTATATTATATAAGTAAAATGGAAAAAACTAGAGTTTTTAAAGGTTTTAGAAGACAATTTTTTTTAAAACTACATCGTGGTAGTTTTAGAAATTAGAAGTTTGGTTTCATCTCGCTCGTCTCAGCGGAATCTGAACTGCTTGTTATAAAAAAATACTTTCCCGATATAAATTCTTAAAATTCAGCGATTATGTTTTTACCAAATCAAATATAAAATGGAGAATTAAATTTAAAAACCATTGTGTGGTCATTAGCCTCATATATTTTACCATTCAATTCGACTTTAATTATAAAATACTAAACGGAAATATATACTATATTAAAATAAAGTATTTCTTAAAACGTAAAGATTACCTTCAAATATCAGTAACTGTATCCACATTTTTTGGTGATTCTCATTATGTTACCTTTTACATACAACAATATTCATACATCTATATCGGTCAACCACGATTCGTCAGCGCAGGATAAACAAGTAGCCTATAATATGTCCGATTATCTTGCCGACAAAGGCTCGTCAAAATCTTTTAAGCCGTTCCGGAGACTACTGGGCAAAGGAGGCCAGACGAGAGAACGAGACAGACATACAGACAGACATGGCTTATCAGTTCCGTAAATCATGGGTACGAAGTATGAAATTGTATATTAAGAAAAAGTATACCTACTGTACATTTTATCTGAAACAATTATGTTTGGTTTTGTTAAAATCTAAAGAATTATGTTCCTCTAATTTATCTAAAAGTTCTACATTGATATTGTTATACATTCCCAAATTCCCTATTATCTAAAAGCACAGTACTGAACTATTGAAAAAACAAGATTTCAATATTAAACATTATATTTATCAACATTATTAGAAGATATTAAAGAAGTTCTTAAATATCATCGTCTTGTTATCGAACTGTATTTGCTTTAGTCCTCCAAATCGATCTGTCATTCCTCAACTCGTCGTTATTCACTTTCTTTCGTATGTCACCTTTCACACTATCCATCAATCTTTCTAGGCTTCCCTTCATTCCATTCTTTCGTTCTCATTACATGCCTCGGCCATACTAATCTTGTGCTCCTTAATATCTGTCTAGCACTGGATCTATTTTCAGACTGGACCTGATTCGTCTGGTAACTTATCCAATCAGACATTCATCTTTAACAAAATTTCTTAATAGATTGCGTTTCACGTCTTTTAATTTCGTTTACTTATTTTTAAGATCGAAGCTTGTTTATTTACATTCAATACTCTACTATTTACAATTTCATGTTTATAATCTCTTTTCTAATTTTCCTTTTTATTTCCATTTCTAACTTCACCATTCCTCTCGAACGCACTATAATTCTTATCAGTAATATGGCCATTTGATACGCCGTTGTTCTGGAAATGCTCCTCGCTACAACTGCTGTTCTTAACTTCCTTTGCCTTTTTATCAGTGGGTTTCCCATAAGCCTTGTAGTAGAAATCATAGAACAGATAATAAAAGAAAATGGAGTTCGGAAGTGTAAAAACGACGGACCAGCGTGGGTAGCCACAGTCGTAAAACAGCAGTTGAGATGAATGGATGAACGTAATACAAAACTGGAGCTGAAAATAGAATATAACAAAATTAACAGAGGTTAAAAGAAAATATAATATATATGTATTAACTAGAAAATTTATAAGCATTTAGGACTTTTAAATGTTTTAATTTATTGTGTACATTTAAACATCAGTTAAGGTTAGAAGTCTATTTCTGTTTACTTCTCTAGGTCAGAGGCGAATGTGAATACATACCATTTGCAAGGTGGTGATGTGCCGTTTCCAGAACAAAAACTTCTGGTACTGAGGTCCCATCGCCGACAACATGTAGTAAGTATACATTATGATGTGGACGAAGGAATTGATGACACCAATCAGAGTACCATGACCGCCCGGGTAGTACTTTGTGGCTCCCCAAGAGATCATCGGCATAACAGTATGATGGTACATGTGCAGGAATGTGATCTGTTTATTCTTCTTTCTTATCACGAAGAAAACCGTATCGAGAAGTTCGGACATCTTTGCGAGGAAATACACGTAAACTCCTCTTGCGACCTAAAAATTTTAATGTAATTTAGAATAATGAAGTATCAAAATCGTAAGCTACATTTTTATAATATTAATACTAGTAATATTATATTATTTGACTTTTTATTTTTTTAAGATTTTATTAAGATTTCAAAAAATGCGATGTGCCAGATAATATAGATGCATTAAATTTAGGAAAACTGGATTTTACATGACTAATTAAATAATAATTACAATAGCTTAATTACCCTCATAGCCTCCGGCGATCTCGAAAAGTCAACCGGCTGACACTTCCAGCTGTAAGTCCTCAACCAACCCGCATCGAGCCCCTGTAATTTTTTTTACAATAGTATGAGTAAATTACTAGTAAAGTTACAATCATTTATTTGAGTAACGCTTTGTCATTGAGCTTTTTGTCATATCTTGTTCTCATAATTTCACAATGATTGATGTCTGGTTAATAAGAGAAAGGGAAAGTGAGTGGTGTGATGATGATTGCTTGTATTTTGGTCGTCACAAGTCAGACGACGTGAAAGCGTGCTAGTGAACAAGACCGAGGTAATCATATCCGTCGTTCTACCGCGACTTGTTCTACTCGTATGACAGATTATCCTAATTCTATCCAATTTAAAAACGAAAAGATCTTCAGTAGTATACTCCAATGTGTCAATGACCCGCAAAATTAAAAAAAGATACGAAGAAAGAAGTATTTAAGTATAAAGAAAAGATATATATTTTTCGCTGATGATTTTATACCAAAGTAAAATAATATATAAAAGGCAATCGTCTACTTCAATGCACCAATTTTTTTTGTCACTACACTCAAAGCTAGACAGAAGTTCTTGATTTACTATTTACTGTTACAATTCAAGATCGACAAAAGGACCAAAGATCATATTGCAGTTTCTTCGAAAATTCAATCACTTTTTTTGCAAAACAATAACTTTGCAATGTCGTTTCTACATCATCAGTTTCTACCAGGTATCCACGTGCCTAACGGCCGATAAGTAAAAAACGCGAGTTAGAGATAATATTATGTTCTGAATGGTCTTTGAATTACCATTAATTAACTAATGAAAAGAAGATGATTGATGATACATAAATAAAAACCTTTACCATCTTATAATATACTCGTAAAATGATTTGAACGAACCTCGTAGAACAACCAGATGCTGACAAAGACTTGGATAAAGTTGTACACGACTAAGGTCTTCTGAAGCTGGAAGGGTTTCTTGTCGGCCATGTACCTCGGGCCCCATTTCAACGTGAAGTACAGGTACAGGCCCAGGATCGTTAGCCCTGGTCCCGGGCTCTTTATTAAGAACCAATCGTTCGTTCGTGGATCTGAAAAATTTAACACAAACACATATCACTAACAGTTTGAATCTACGGTTTTTATAGAAGCCATTGGTATATCAAATAAATTTCTAAACGTTTACTAAGTCAAAACGCTCTCTAAGGTTGAAACCTTAAGGAGGATAAACCTAGCAGCTTTAGAAGTTTTTACTTCGCATTGCAATGATTGGTTGATATTGATAAAACTTTTGAAGTTAAACAATCAAAAAGCCTTTAGATGTTAAACACTTAAGAATTTCATAGAAAACTTTAAAATCTCACCGGCTAATTCTACAAATAACCGATGATAGGTCTTCGAGAAGGAATTATTTGATAGCGCCATGTCCACCAGATGTGTCGTTCGTCGAGTGTTCACTTCCGTACATTCATGAGAGGCCCACCCTCATCGCTGAGAAACCTTCTGCTTTCACCTACAAATGATAATAGTATTTAGAAATAGATTCAAAGAGGAGATTATCTATTGGTAAAGATCTTTTCTGCTTAAATTGTGGTGATCCCTAAAGACACGAACATCTCTTACCGATAATGACTTTGTTGACGATGGTTAGAAAAAAATTATGTTTATTTCATTTGTTTACGCTTACTATAAACAAGTAATGTAATCAACAAAGTAGTTATAATTTCCCGCAATCCTCATCGTTCTCAAGGTAATAATGGATGAGGCGGAAAAACCCATTTAATTATCTGTCCTATAACCTTCGATGTCCAACTAAACACCTTGCGAAATCAACGGACCATCAGAACATTATGACGTCACGACTACGTCACTAACACATCGTCACGCTATGGCCATTAATCTACCACACACTTTGCTGCACCGTAAGTCACTACTGAGATAACATTGTTTCACATATTTCAGCAACGCTTATAAAAGGATACACATATAAGCGCCAGCGCTTAGAACTCTCAAAGTATAGGAAGTAGTACTGAGTTTCAGGTTTTAAATATAATAATCCTGGGATTTAATGTTGGCTTGAAATAAAATAACAAAAGTAGTAAAGGAAAAAGTCAAAAGAAATATTAATAAGAATAGAAGGTCGAGAAGAAACGGTGTTAAAGGGGCATGTTTAGACAATTTGCAATTCATGCCCCACGAATATGCTCGCCACCTCCAACTAAACTAAAGGATGTTATTAATGGCTCAAGTATTCTCGTGGTCGTGACAAACGCTTTAATAACAGTAATAAGCAGCTCGGATGGGGAAATAAATGCGTTAAAGCATTCATAACTGGTTTATTGCAGAATTCTAATACAAAAAAACAAATGGAATCACGATTGAATTGAGCACGACAAGGATGTTGGAAATGCAATTAATTTTATTGTCTACTTTGTGATAAGAAACATCAAATTCTAGTTTTTTCAATCAACCTGTAGTCCAATGGCGCGGAGTCATGCTATAGAAAACAAATGAAGAAAATATGGATTAATGAATTAAATTGTCGAAGAATATATTCGTTATAAAACCAAAGCTAATCTTAAAATATTATTTCTGAACGAAAACATAATGAGTTCAGAAAACTACTGTCCTTAAAAAAATTTGAGTGTTAAATCATATCGACAAAAGACTGAACGAAATGGAACAAATTTTTTGTACGCCTTTCTAACGTTGTATGTGGTTCACCTTTCACTTGTTCTAAGTACAGCGTGACCTTTATTTTTTGATTATTGGGAGCTTTTGTTTTATTAATTATAATATAACTATCGAATTAAGGTCATAAGTCTATTAACGATTTTTCCTCGTGCGTTGAAAGAGCGTCAGATTCATTACTGGGCCATGTGTCGAAATTATTGAAATTCAAATTATATTATTAAGTTTTTAATCAAAATATAATTATTAAAGTATCATATTTTAATAAAGTAAATGATATCATGAATTAATAAAAATGAGATGTCATACTGTCAAGAAAATCAGTACTAAAAAGTAAGCCAAATCAATAATAGCACATTACATCCGGCGTTTTTATTTTATTGTCTCCACATACCTGCATTCCATCTACATACTAAAATGGAAGACATGTTTAACACTAAGTTATATCACTTCGTTATAACATATTGACAAGAGAACACGCCTTAACGCACCAAGTTATCATTATTTCTACGCAATAGGCGCGTGCTTTTAACACGCTTGCGCCCGGACGACTGCGGCCGAGCTTTTCACCAACCCCTACACGGTCGCCATTTTGAAAGCAGTGTAATGGGAACGCTGAGTTAGTTCATTTCCCCCTGAAATATAACTCCTAGAGTTTACAAATGTACAAGTATTCCCGCTATAAAATACTAACATTCTTTGTAGTTTTGTTCAATACTGGCGGCAACTGTTATTATTAAGATTAACTCTTCTCACTCTAGACAAATAGATAAAAAGCTGTTTAGTATTTAATATGTTGGATTTTGATTTTTGAATAACATTCAAAGGCTGTTTGACATGTCGACCGTGAACTCTCTCTGAAATGTCGTAGAGAGCGAAAACAAAACGACAATTACCTTACTTAATGTTAACAAATATTTACACGTGGTTTCTTATACAAATTTACATAGAAACCGCGAAGGAGTTACTAACATCGTTAAGCTGAAACAAACAGAATACACTGACCTTCGACGTCACTTCAAAAGCTAAGACAAAAATGAATTTGGGAACTCTTTAGAGTTCTTATCGTCTGGACGATGATGAAGCATAACGAAAAAATTATGCAGTATAAATGAACTTTAATGCAAAGTGATAGAGAAGGTAATTGTACGCTTTGTCTACGCGACGACCAGTTTCGCCATCGCATCGCCTCGCTCCGCTGGCTGTCCTAAATACCTGCTCGAAAGAGTACCGTTCGGAAATCCCTTCTTACTCTCACTGCTTGCGCGTGTTACAAAATGTGCAAGTGTACATTTAATAGATGTAGGGTTCCGCATAATAAAAAATTTATATGTAAAAGTTATAAACAAAATAATTTAATTTGCTTAACCCAAATAGACTACGATATTGTCTAATATAATACCTGTAGAGGAAATATAATCGCAAGTTTCATTTCCGTCTCGCCATGGCAAAAACTTAACGCGATCCAGTGACGCCCTTTCACTGTATTACATGTCATAAACACCGTCGCATCGTTATGTCACCATAGTTTCCTGGTGATCATGACTGTCTTCGCCGCCAACTGGATGCCAACGGCTGGCCACCACTTTGGCACCAATGCGATGTAGCACGTTACATCATAATTAATAAACAAGTAATTACAGTTTTCACTAAAATAAAAATATATAGTTCTTAACAGATGTTCATATTATATGTATGATTTAATGATCATCGAGGGCAGGTGGAATTAAACACTAACAAAAGTAAAATTATAAGAACTAATTTCTACTTTTCAGTCAGTATAATAGTGGTAGATCCCGCATTAACATCTTTGCACGAAGTAGCCCGTCCGCCCGATAAAATACCACGACCACACAGAAAACAGGAGAGAAGTGGAAGCAATTCCGCGTTTTGTCTGATAAGTGTGCGGCTCGGAGGCCTAATTTTGTCCTCTTTCCCTTACTGCATGGAAAGGGAAAATATTTTCTTTCTATGGTGCGTACTGTCCTCCGCCGATTAAAGGTAGGCAACGCATATGCAATTGCGTATGTCTATGGGCAACGGCCTGCTTTATTACCCTTACTATGCTCACAAACAGCCGCGAATCGCTACTATACAAATTTTATTATTATGTAAAATATGTTATTCAAATAACAATAGCCTACAAAATGCAGTCGCAAGTTCTGACATTTATAATATGCGGTCTGAGGCATGAAATGTTCATTTAGCGTCCTGCCTTGCGGTTTCCTAAGCACCTGACTTGTATGAACCGAGTTTACGTTTAGTTATTTGTAATACTGACAAACATTTGTAATGCGCGTCCTCTTTCAAATGTTATTGACCCGAAAAGTTGGCGCATAGCTATTTGTTGAAATCACTGCAAATTGAAATTGCACGCAAAAGGCATCGATCCTTATGAAATATGCAATCTTACTAATATCACTTCCACATTACTAATTTCATCGCAACGCAACGAATACATATTATATTACGTTAAACTATGGAGTGATTTGTCATATTCTGATATATTAGTCTGCAGATTTACTAGGCCTAGTCCATCAGATATGCTCAGCGATGAAGAAAAATAACTAAGCCGTTTTAAGGATAAATGTGCTCTGGGAACTACCAAAGAAATATGTTACAGAAAAGCGTGGCAATCTTAGAACTCTTTTCCACTAAACCGCGCGCAGCGATCTGATCCTATGAACAGTCGCAGGAAAGTTTTACCAGTTGGTAAATATACAAATCAGAGGTCGCGCGCGGTTAGTCTTTTAGTGGAATAAGGTACATACTTAGGAAGCTTCGAAAACTCGTTTTAAATAGAATAAATTAGATCTTTAGGATCTCGTAATAAAATTGTGTCAGTTAGTTTTTTTAAAATTGAAATTACACTTTTTTGTCACAGATTTTTCTCTTGTTTATTTTTTATTTTATACAAAGAAAAATTTATTGGTACTTTGTTTCACTACTTTTCCTCTTGTTGTTTATCTATTTTTAACAATTTTACATCTATTAAGATTTATTACTATCATTCAATGAGTTATCCTTGTTTTTATTTGTTTCATCTCTCGTTCAGCTATTGAATTACTTTGCAATTTTTTGTTGAAGTAATTTTTTTGTAAAACGAAAGTGTATCTGCAAAAATATTCAAATGTTAATATAATATAAAGTGCGAACTGTGAACAAATGAGGACGTGGGATTCAAAAACCGTTGTCTGTTGTTAAATATTTCCTAACAAACCTTTAAGGTTATATAAAAAGTTTTTTTTTAGAGTTTTTACAATAAAAAATGTTTTATTTATATACATTTATAGTTTTAAATATATAATATAATATTGCAATTTAAAGTAATATTTGTGTTGCGGCAACACCGGCCCCGGAGTTGCATGGCCAGTGCGCGCCGCGCCTCATCGTTTAAACTTTTTGTTTTTTTTTTTTATTACTTTTTACATTTTCTGCCGGGGTCCAGTTCTCGTGGCACCTAAAAATCCTTTTTTTTTTTGAACAAAAATATATATCTTTATTTTATTTAGTAAATCTAAATTATTCAGCACATAAAAAGCACAACTAATTTGGGCTTCTTAAAAACAAACACACTAATTATTTCTGTCGATAAAAAACTAGAACCGGATATTTTAAATAATGTATTTTAAACAATTCGATTTTTAATACTACTATTTTTATAAATGCTAAAGTTTATATGGATATAAGAAGGTGTCAAGGTGAAGGTGAATCCAGAATGACTCAACGGATCTCGGTGAAAGTTATCATAGAATATAATCTGGAAGAACAAACAGCCTAAAAAAATCATTTTAATTCCACGCGGAAATATTCGTGGGTAAAGGCTTGCCTTTATCATAATATTGAAATCGTGGTAATTCAAAGATGTTTTTCCGCCCAACAGAAAATATTGCATAATAACTTGTTTATGTTAATTTATTTGAACAAGTCTCTTACGGGGTCAATGGAGTAGGCTGTAATTTTTAAGGAAGTCGCTTTACATATTTAAGGTCGGTTTACATAATTACACTAAGTTACAACAGGGCCAACCAGGCTTGCGTCTAATTTTATTATATGTTATGTTTCATTATATGTAAAAGTCATAGCAAACAGCCATTTATGTACAGGTTTAAATCTCATGTTATGATTTCTAGGCTTCTACTCTTTCAGGCTAGGAAATGAATGCATAAAACCTAAGCATTTTGTTAATTCAATAAATATGTTTTTTGTTCTAAAAATTATATGTAATTTCTATTTTAATGTTGTGAATACATTTTGAAATTAGTAAATGTAAGTGTTGGTTTACACTGTGGACAAACATGTATAAAAACATATTGTCATCACTTATGTTCTCTTTGAAAAATTAAAGACAATATTAGTTTTATACAGTGTTACGTAACTTGGATTATTATAATTTATATGTAATTTATCACTTACTCGACAGAAACTTTCCTAACAGATTAGCTGATTATGCTTGTAATCCTAGAATTGCAAGTATTAGCGTTTATTTTGCAAATACAACTCTATACCATAAGCGATAAATCGTTAATTCCAACCAAGTCAGTAATAAACTTTGAACCTGGGACGTATGCAAACAGTTAAAGTAAATAAAAGATATTTGAGTTTATTCGCACTTTTGACAAAAATAAAATCTAAAAACAAAGAGAATCTGTAAAAACAGCTAAGTTATTAGAAGCTATCATCAATCAATATAATAGCCGCTGTCAAAATATGTAAAGTACGATAAGATTGGAGTAAAATTAATGTTCTCCAGACTCCAGTAACGCTTGTTTAGAGATAAAGAAATGTGTTTGACATATGATCTCTGCCACCTTACTATTTAACCACTATGAAATGCTACCTGAAGCCTTGCTTGTATTGGCACTTATTCCAACCCTAACATTGTTAAAAAAAAACAGAGACGAAAATATGTCAATGCAAATGTCAGGACAGTGGAAGCTCACTGTTTCGTTCCGCCCAACCCACACACAGCTTAAGCGATTACGAAGCGGCATTTGAATTTCGCGTTTCGTTTCGCTTTCGTATTACGACGTGGTCCGGCGCTACTTATATTTCGTAACGCACTGGTCGTTGCTTTTATTACATATAATATATGACGAAATATGTTTGTATTTGTAGTCGTAATCGTTAGTATAAAATTATCTTTAGATAAATAGCCGCGTTATATAGAGTTGACTGTATGCATTTATATATCAAACTAGCGTAAAAGAGAGGCACTATTGTAGCGCTTAGTTCTTTCTTACATATTGTATGCCAATATCCTCATTTAAAACATATTGTCATCTCTGTCTTGTCAAATATGCACGACAGGGATGACGATATGTTTTATACAGAGATTTTGGTCCCAGAGACCCACAGTTATCCAAATGTATGTGTTGGATATCAGGACAATTTGATTTTAAACAAAATTGAAGGTTATATCTCAAAAAAATAGTTTAGAAGATATCAATAACCGAAAAATAAGCTGGTTTACATGGTTTAATAACCTATAAGGGTATATGACATAAAAAAAAAACAGAATTCTTTGGCACGCAGACGAAGCCAAACAGGGTCACTAGTTATATAGCAATATTCACATAACCATATACGGTACTGTCAGTTAGAAAAAAATTATAAATACACTGAAACGGAACTAATTATTTTCCTCAATGTATATAAAACAAAGGTTGCTTTAATTTATGATAAAAATCAAGTTTACCAAAAATATTCCACGGAATAATAAAAAGTGCGAAATTATAAATGGTAATTAACGATCAAAAGAGTTTTAATTTGAATTCAATTTTTTAAGAAATATTTAGCGGTTACCAAGGACGTCGGTGTAAAAATATGTATGGAGTTAAATAATATAGTTCACCTAAGGAGAAAAGTATGACATTCTCACCACCGGGTTATGTCACCCGACATCGCTGGTGGCAATATCCTAGTTTTGTCCTTCAGTGTGTATACAATTTTTGTCCTACCTAGATGTAAAGTTCTCTTTTAGTCCCTGGTACGATAGGCAAAAGTATCTGATTTGCAATTTATCGCTGACAATGTTTTTGCGAGTATGTCAAATCCGGTAATAATAACGAAGTAACAGCCCGAGCCGTGGCAACTGAGGGAGTCGTTGCGTCTAGCTCCTCTTTAAGCGATATGCGCGCGCCCAGTTCAAGCTCCACCTAGCTCACTAAATACCTAGCTCTTCTAGACTAGACGCAGTCACAAAAAATCGCAACTATAACTACATTAGTATGTATTCGGTATTAATTATTAGCCTAAAGGCTTCGTAGTCTTCCCTGAAATGCAATCTGGGAATTTCAAATTTACCGATTTTTTAATTCAGTAACTTATAATTATAACTTAATAATATGTAATTACGGTTTTAAGGAATTTTAAAAACTAGCTGTCGCCCACAACTCCGTCCGCGCGAAATTAAAAATACTTAATTAGTACTATGTGTTCTTCCAGACTGTGTTCTACATCTATGCAAAATTATAGCAAGATCCATGCAGCCATTCTGTAGATACCTTCAAACAAACGTCCATCCATCCATCTAAACATTCGCATTTATAATATTAGTAAGATGTAATTACTCGATTTATACAGTGTAAGAAACTATGTCTGTTAAGGCGTAAGTATGACATTTTATTGAGAAATTGCAAGAAGCGTCATATCATATAATAAGCAGTATTATTACCATCAAGTGAAAGTCGTCATGAAGAACAACTTTTGTCCCGTTTCGTGAAATCAAAAGGAAGTCAAAAGTATTTATCAAAGTGGCACACATTGAGCGAGGTCAAGACCACTCCTTTATATTTTCAAAACAAAATGTATCCAATAAAAATATTTGCAAATAGTCTTTATTTTTATTGCATTACATTCGATAATTGCCTATCGATGTTTTGTCGCGTGTTAAAAAGACATTGAGAACTAATTGTGTGGCAATGTTACTTAGATACAATTTTTCATAACCTCTAAGATAACTTGTCTGTTTATTAAAGCGGCTAACACCTTGCTAAAATGTCTATCTACTTAATAGTTATGGCTCAATCCACTAAGGCTGGATTCATCGAATCACGATGATATACGCGGATGATTTTACTATATTTCTTACAAGATAGTACCTAAAAAAAGCTTATTACATCCATGGTACAGATTAAAAAGTAAACGTTACAGTAAAACCAAAAAACAATAAAAATGTAGAAAGGAAATGTACCAAATTTGCGATATTGAGGTGATGATTTATAGAGCGGAACGACACATGGACAAACAAAAACGTCTTTTATTGAACTCAAGGTTTGAGTTTTATAGTAATACAACCAAATTATTGGAGAATAAAAGTACTCAATGGTGTAGAATATAAAAATGTATCAACTTATACGTTTACTTGATAATCATAATTTAAATTATATTCAAGTCACAATAACACGTTACTTTATTCGTAAAAGGCTGTAGGGCAAAGCCGCGATTGCGAAGCGAAAGCGAAGCGAAGTTTGATATGAAAATTTTATGGAATTAGTTTTGGCAAAATGTTTAGCAAACTACATCGCTTACGAGAATATAAACGTAGTTTTCCATTGCCAAAATGTTTTGGTTATAATACATATGTATATAAAAAACGCCAGTCTGAATTTTTAAAGCACTGAGATCGTATGTTAAAGTAGAAGTTTTTTGACTCTATAATTGTGGAGCAAATGATAATAATAATTTTCGTATCTTGGTGTGGTACAGGTTTCACATGTTGCCGTTTTTTTCGCTTTCACGGCTTAGTCGTCACATATAAATTAATAAAATAAAAATTTGAATAAAATTGCATTAAAGCTCTACTAAGTAATCACTCTTTGTAAATATTTCCTGTTTCTTATTAATGTTATGTTTTTATGTGTTATTTCTTTTGTGCTGTTTTTGCTTATTGTGTTCTAATATTGAAAGAAAAATCGTATAAGTTCCTATTAAATAGCGTACGCGTATAAAGACTAGGATTCAATTATCCTGCACAATTTATATTGTACGAACCACATTTGAATCATAAATCAAATTAACAATACAAATTCTCTGATCAGATTATTCGTATAATACATGCGGTCTATATTTTTGTAATGCAAATCTTAAATTATAATTAAGTTAGCGATTGTCTTCAAGTACATGAATCTTACTGTTGAAGGCACAAGCTTACCTAAGCATTATGTTAAGTGGACAAATATTAACATCAGCACAATTCAATACAAAACTGGGTCGCAAACGTTAAAAAATCATAACTTTCTTATAAATCGTGCATAATAAATAATTATAAAATAATTTTTAAATAACTAACCTTTGATTTTCGTCGTCTGAAAAACACTTTTATATGTAAAAATAAATAAAAGCAAAAGATAAACAAAATAAAAGTGAACACTCGCGTTAAAAAGTCGGACAAACAACGTCTGACTGTGGACGCGTTCGTCCGTCGTGGTATCTTAATAACAACTGAAATGTTTTCTATGATTTGGTGGAGCTTGCGCAGGCGCAGGCGCAGGCCACTAGAGTCTCCGGATTTTCATCTATAGTTTATGCAATATCTTTTACTACTGATCTAAGTAAGATGACAATTTATTAACGTCGTGCATACGTCACACATGCGTGTGTGAGGAATGTGTGTCTACAATTGGATTTGTTTCATTTCATATGATGTAGAATGTCTTTTTTACAATATTTTTAGGTAGGTTATATATCTTCAATCTTTTACGAGATGATGGCTATAGGCATCTTCTATATTAGCAAAATCAGGTAGCCACTAATTCGTTTGACACCTACTTACAAGTAAATAATGGAATAATAAATATATCTATTGTCATTAAAAAAGTTTAAAAAAAAAACAAAGTTTTCAAGATTTATTTCTCTATAAAACAATACATTAGTAATTCAACGAAGCCCAAATATTCGTTGGAAATATAATATGTGAATAATGCAATGATATAACAAAAAGTTTGTCGTTATTGCATTGTTATTATTAATATTTTTTGATCACTTCCCGTGATATTGTTTGTGGATCTCCGCGGATGCAAAGTTGAAATTCGCGCGCTGTGGTCACAAATTGGCGGGAATCCTTGCAAGAATTGGCGCGTGTGCGCTCAGCCAATAGAAAGCCGTGACGTGATTTGACGCAGTCTTTTTCATTGGTTGATTAATAATTCCTTTGGTTCTTCACTGCGCATGCGTTAATAATGTAATCAATAGATGCATTTATAGAAGAGGCGCTTTAATTTTCTTTTTGATGAAATACATAAATAGATAAGTTTAGAAATAAAAAAATAATATATTTATTTATAATTGAAATATCATACAAGTCGTTCTCTATTGCTGTATTTCCGTTTTACAACACAAATAAATATAGTAGGAGAATTTTTTAAATTAATATAGTGATAACAAAGCATAAATCACTATGTTTATTTAACTAATACTGAAATGTCTTCATAACGGCGATTGCAGCCAAAATGTTCGGATATGAGACAATAACAAGCAAATTCGCAGCGGAAAAGAAAGTTCGTTGACCTCTTATTTATGCCGATATTAGTTTTTCGCAATAGACATTGGAGTTTAAATATTTTTTTACACTAAACAGCTACTTGACACCAATTTCACATGATGTTAATTGTACACGTGATTGAAGAATTACTAAATAGGCGATGCAAAGTGGGCAATTTGCATTCTTTATACGGCCGCTTTTTTTTCTTAAATTGTTTCTAAGTAATATGACATATATCCAAAATATCTAATTACTTGTTAGGTGAATAAATTTATACCATATTTCATGCAAGCAGCTAGTTGTTTTTTTAATAATTTTGTCAATAGTTCGGTAAAAAAAATTGTGACTAAAATATTGTTTTTGTATGTCTTTTGATATTATATGTATATAATTTCAATGAATAATGACAGGAATCCTCTTAGTAAAGTTTCCAGTGAGCTATTACACTTAACATAATATTAGCTATAAGAAAATTGTAGGCGCTATCGTAGTTTTTCAATTCCTACTATTAGCTTGCTTATCGGTCATATTTTTATAAGAATAGCTGTTGCCCTCTACTTCTTCAGCGCAAAATGAACAATAGCCTATAATATGCCCCTGTGCATCAGCTGCATACCCGTGAAAGTCCCATTAAAATCAGTCCAACTGTTCCGGGTTATACCCGAATAAATGCGTCCTTGCGGACATACAGATAGACAAAAATTAAATTGATTTTTTATAAAATACAGACACTTCAATTTTATTAACATGTATAGAAATAGAACAGATTTACATATATAAAAATTAATTATAATAGCTTTCTTAAAATTCGTATACACATTTAGTGCTGACGACAACGTAATTTTTTAAATTTGTCATTGTGTAAAATTTAGTATGGCCGCCGTGACAAAATTTCGGATAAAATATTTTTTAGAACACCCCCAACACATGGGTAACAAATGAGAAAATGTTAATTAAAAACCAAAAAATGCCAAAATGAGGAATTGACTATAAATATTTTCTTTATTACTTGTTACCGATACTGTTACGTTGACATACATAATGTAACGTATAATGTATGTATGGTAATAAAAACTAATTTATTCGAAACAATTTAATAAATACAATTGAATATCTATTACTTAACCTAATGCAAACATTAAATTCACAGTTTATTAAATAAAGGTCATTTTATTCTTAAGCACGGCTTTAATTTCTTTAACCGTGGGTTTCTAAGTCTAAAAACTTCGTTTAAAACATATTGTTATCTTTGTGTTGTCAAGGATAATGACAGGGATGACGTTATGTTTTATATATGTTGGTGTTAGAAACCTACGGTTACTAAAATATGAAGATAGTGGAGTTTTAGATATATAGAAAATTATAAAAGAAGAAAACAATCCAGTTTCGATTCCTTTTTCTGTGTTGTTACCACATCGTTTATCGGCATTGCCCTTCTTTTTCTAGACTAGACAGATTAATTTCTATCTAAATTCAATGAACATCTTGTGAATTTGAATCTTAAATAAAATCAATTACTTTTTATGCAACCGCTTTTGATTCCGTTCATATTTCCCATCTTTGCTTTATTGTCTACATCTCGTTGATTATTTTCGAGATCTTTGCGCAATTTGTAACTTTTAAAGTAAAAGTTTAGGAAGAGTATGAAAAATGACAATAATGTTCCTAATGCGAAGTAATGGAAAGCGACAGGCAAAGGGCACGGAGTCCACTTCTGTTGGTAGTATAGATTCGTGACCGCTAATACGAATTGCACCTGAAAAAATAGTAAACCTAGTAAGTAATGATATCTAATCTAGTAGGGAATATAAGTCGCTTGTTTAATATATCGAAATAAATACAAAGGTCAATTAATCAGACTACATATTTTCAATTGTCTGTTACAAGGAATGTTAAATGTCACAAGAATTCGGCTATTTGCAAATAAGAATGACGAATTTACAACAAATAGTGGACTTTGCCTACGAAATTAATTGAAAAAGAAATCAGGACTTAATTATTGGTATAAGCAAAATAAAAGTAGTTCGGTAAACATAAAAAGTAGCTGTCGCCCTCGACTCCGCCCGAATTAATAAAACGTAATTAGTAGTCTATGTGTTCTTCCAGGCTATGTTCTATATGTATGCCAAAGTTCATCGAGAACAGTTCAGCCGTTTTAAAGATACTTTCGAACAAACATCCATCCATCTAAAAATTTATATTTATAATATTAAGTAACATATCTATCGCTTACCAGTTGTATCTTGGTCAAATGTTTTTTCCACCAAACATATTTGGCAAAACGAGGCCCTAGACAAGTAATGCCGTAATAACTGTACATCACAACGTGGACGAAACTATTCAATAAGCCGGTGATAACGAAGTGGTCCGTTGGTAGGAACATATAGTACAACCAACCCCATAATACCATTATGCTGTGGTGATATAAATGAAGAAAAGTCACTTGATTGTCCTTCTTTCGAAGTCTAAAGAACACGGTGTCAAGTAGGTCTAAATGCTTCGCCACGAAGTACGGATAAATATTGTTTACTGCCTAGAACACAAGAAAAACATTTGAATAATTAGAACCTCCCTCAGGTGCTTACTACGCGTAGGTTTTGGATCAGAAATCTACGCTAAACTTTTGTTCTAAATAACCATTAATCATCGGCAGTTAGACATTTTTTGCTTCATTTAAATGCTGTAATTTAAACAAGGAATTGTAAATACGGTTTAGGTATTAAAGCTTTCCGGATTTATAGTTAGTATGAATTTTTTTTTATATATTATAAGGTGACAAACGAGCGAGCGGCCACCTGAAATCGCTGAAACAGCGAAGCGACCGTTGCCCATAGACATAAGCAAATTACATATGCGTTGCCTACCTTCAATCGACGGAGGAGAGGATGCACAGAAAGAAAATACTTTCCTTATAAGAAAAAGTGTGGGAAGGGAAAGAGGACTAAATTAGGCCTAATTTAGTCTTATCAAAGTGTTTACTTACTGTGCCAATAATATCTGGATTGTTTTGTGGACATCTGAAAGGAAATATACCAAAGTTCCAAACATAATCTGCATACTGAAAAGAAAAATGACATGACATTATTTCCTTCAAATAATTAACAAAATTGTTAGGAAAAAAATAATATTTTAATATATTTATCGTATATGTTAATCTATTGAAAAATATAAATAAACTTACAATATACACCATGTATCCGGAATAGTAAACTTGGAAGGCATTGTAAAATAGCAAAAGCGGTTTCATTTGATACGGTTTCCTTTTCATCATGATTCCGGGAATCAATTTTAATACGACCAGCAAGTAAATAGCAATGACCACTGCTGCAGCCCCAATTGTCCGAAGAGCTGTCCAATTCTTTGGTACTGAAAATACCAAAAAATATAGATAAAAGTAATCAGGACGAGCGAAGAGAGCCCTATACTTACTATAGTATAATGTTAACAGTTTTGAACTCAGGACCTGCCGATTGCAAGTCAAGTGCTCAACCCCTGAGACACCGACGTTCTAATTTACTTATCAGCAACAAATTATTACATGTAGTATAGATTAAAAATTATTTTATAATTTAATAAAGATTAATTTTATGTCTGTTACGAAAGTATGACGTAGGTGCGTTACGTAATTCAAGAGCACAGTGTAATAAAGCTAAGCGTCTAGAGATCGGTACCGGACGCATCGGACGTATCGCTTCAAACGGATTATATACATATGCGGTCACTAATCCGCATCGCAATACCGACACAGATGTCTTGAGTAGTAACTTTTGCGTTGCGTGCCACTGACATACGCAATGTAAGTAAATCCAAAAAGAAATGATTTTATTTCATGATTTCTTTAACTTTCAAAGAAAAGTCGTATAATAAGATGGTTATTTGGAATTATGTCAAAATAGCTAGCTTCCACATTTTTATTAGTCTGCTTAAATATAAAAAAATAAACTAAACTATAATGAGATTAATTTTTGTCGTGAAAATACAAGAAATCTTAAAATACTAAAATATAAAAAACCAAACTTACTTTTATCGTAATTTAGGTAATTTTCCTTTAATACTTCTTCCATTTTGATTTCGAGTAATAATCCGTTCTTATTTTTATAATCTTTTTATTATATAAACTAGGGCTTAACCCAGAGTTCTCTAAACTTCAGTTTAGTTCTAACTCCCTCCGCGACTATCAGCACATGTTTGTCGACTGAACTGTTTTAAAAAAAAGTTGAACATAACATAGGCAGTTTAACACAATAAATGTTTTATTTATTATCATATCCTTGACGTCTTTATGTAAATAACACGCGTGTACAATGCAAAGAATTATACTTTTTAATGATTAGTTTTGACTATCTAGTCTTCTCATTTAGGATTTTGCCAATCCTACGATTCGATCGGCCTTCTTTGTTTTAGCATTTTTAAATCTGTAAGGTTAACATATTTTAATTTACTCTATGTCAAAATTAAGTAGAATTTTGTATAAGTTTCGCGAAGACCGTTTCTATCAAAATATAAAAAACTTATTTGAAAAAATCTTAAGAAAATTGCAATATTTTTTTAATTCATAACTCTAGCTTTGATAGTATGTGTGAAATTATACAAGTACTTAATTTTACGAGTCGAGAGACACTATTAATTATTAATTATTTTTTTATAACAATTCAAGTACACTTCAAACCTTCCACAGAACGCTTTTGATTTGGTTAAGACAGTTAATCAGTTAACAGACATTAAAACTACTTTGATATAAAAAATAAAAATCATAGTGCCTATCTGCAACCACGAAAAAGGAAATTATTGCACTGCAACTATTTATATGTATAACAATAGGAAGTAAATTAGCAATTAAAATTATTTAATGTCTGTAGAAATAAACTATTCGTTAATTAAATAAAATACAAAACCGCTTTGCAACGAACGGTATTATTTTATATTTTTATAGTGGTAAGAGAAAGCAACTGACCGAATCCTGCTTACGTGTAAGGTTTATTATCACAACTATGTCTTGTACTCTATTTACCTGACTGGAAAAAAAAGGTTATTTTTGACTTCATCAACATAGCAGCCAGAAACGTAACTAAAAAAAAAGTAAAGTAGATTTTTTTATAAGAAATATAAATAAATATATTATTAACCTGATTAATTATTTGTTTGAAGTACTTACTTAATTAAAATATTTAAATATTCCTTTTACGTAAAACTTAAATAAATGTAGGGATATAATTTCGCAATGTCATTGAATTTTAATAGGTGTTTTTCGACGTGTAATACAATATATAAAAAATACGAATAAGGCTCTTCATACACAAAACGATGTAAATTTTAAATCTGGCGACTTACGCAATACTACGTCGTAGAAGTTTGTACACGGGCACCTGTAGTCGATATTTCTATCCCTCATATCCATAGCCAGTCTCCCGCTATCCGTTTGTCAAGATTGTCGTGAAAAAAGCCACTGGTATTGTTAGGAAGAAAATCTGACACTGTGCTGATGTACAGGCGCAACAGTAGCCTTATTAAAATCTCGACGTTTATGCCCCCTCAATAATCTGACACTTGACTTTGTAACGAAAGCGCGCCATTCGCGCCAAAGGATTCTAATTAATAATGTCTAAAAGTATTTAGAAGGTGGTATAAGAAATCTATACCATAGACATTTTGCAAATACGCATCAGCCGTGTTGCCTCTTGCCTGTACTAAGAAACTGTCGCGTTGACGATTCATCGGTGTGTGTACAAAGATTGTCCGATGTGATACTCGTGACGTAATAATACAAAACTAGTTTCAAATATTTGTGCTGCCTTGTGTACCAAGAGCCTAACTGCAACTGAATTGTCGGGCCAAGTACGTAAAGTAAATAAGTTTTGGGCTAAAATAGAATATATTTTAAAATTCGATCAAATTAACTTAATCAATAAAACCTATTGTTTTCAGACATCAAATCAGTATTACATCTGCGTCATAATTCCGCAGCCTAAAATTTGAGGTAGCATTACAGCCAACATTTAGTGATTTCCTAAGCCCCGCGTAATTGAATCTGCGAAAAATTAAGATTTTTTTTTAATTTTATTTTTAAGTCATTTTGACTATTTTCAGCATTCCAACAAGCATTTACTACTTACTTATAAATAAAGAAAACGAAGTCAATTATATAAAATACATGTAATTTGACATATACAAGAATACATGACATGTAAAAATCTATATTTTGTTATTAGGGTAAAATAATAGCAATGTTTTACTTATGCAAGTCTATGATAAAATTTGCTACAGGCGATTGGCAACGGATATTTTAAAGTAAGTAAAACAATCGAAGATTATACACGATGCAGTGGAAACGTATATAACTCATAGCCTATGACCATCTTAAGGCCCAAAGCTGGCTACGACAAAAATGAAGACTTCCTCGGCATTGGTCTAATTTCTGTTTTTTTTTTTATTTAGAAATAGAACCTCTTACATAAATTCATTGTATTTATATGATTAATCTCTTAGTTTTCCGAACAAACTTTACCTTTAGCAAATATTGATTCGCATGCATTAGTTATTTGCTTGTATCAGAAACGTCAACTTGTGGTTATTTATTTCTGCGACTTATATTATTGCTGCTACTAACTATATAATATTACCACATGCAAGAACTAACTTAATTAAATAATGATAAATTTATAAAAGAAAAGGACAAAGGAAATGTCTGTAGCAATCATTTTATTTTTACACAATCATTACAGATAAAGTTTTTATTTTTATCGATACATTGATTTTGTACGATACTTGATCGTTTGATGTAACTTTTGAGATAGAACTTCATGAAGAGGATAAAGAATGAGCCAATGCTGAGGACGCAGAAGTAATGGAAGGCGGCGGGGATCGGGCACGGTGTCAACTTCTGCTGATAGTGCAGGTTTGAGATCACAAGTATGAACTGAATCTGTAAAACAAGAAACAATTATAATATTTTAATAACAGACGGCGATGATGTTTCCATCCGTTCCTTATAAGAGAAAGAGGTCTAGAATTAGCCTTCGACAAATATACACATCGAGTGGAACGCTTAATTACTTTCTCTTTACGCGTGAGTTCAGAGATGGCATAATATTGGACCTGTGGAAAGGACCATATGTGCAACAGCTAATGCCGCTGCGGATTCATCAACTGTAAATCTTTCTTGAGAATAGTTTAACATGATTTATGTTACTACGATATTTATGAATTTCAGAACTCATTTAATTTTAACGCTGCACTTACCAGCTGTACTTTTGTTAAATGCTTTTTCCACCAAACGAATTTAGCGAATCGTGGTCCCATTGCTGACAGGCCGTAGTAAGCGTACATTATCACATGTACAAAACTGTTCATCAAACCAACGCCTACAAAGTGATCTGACGGCTTATGGAGATAGTACAACGTAGCCCACGTCACCATGATGCAATGATGATAGACATGAAGGAATGTCACCTGGTTATCCTTTTTCCTTAGCACGAAAAATATCGTATCTAAAAGATCAATTTGTTTTGCCAGAAAATACGGAAATATATCCCGTGTTACCTAAAAATATTTTTATAATTTATATTATTTTTTATTAAAATAACGATTCATATATTATAACTATTATTACAAACCTCTCTTAAGAGTTCTCCTCGAGGACATGATGTGCAAATAATTCCGTGTTTTATTATATAACTCGTATACTGGAACATAAATGTAAATACATAAATTCTATATATTTCATGATTCCTTTCCAGTCACACGGGGATATATATGATGTTCAGGAAGAAAAAAATCTTGAGCCCTTATATAATCACTAACAAGAATATAACTTAAGATAATTTAAGAAAAAATATTTAGATTTACTTGAACTGTAAGTGCAATTAATTTAAAAGTAATGATAGGAAATTAACATTGCATCCTGAGGATATCATTACCGATTAATGTTCGTCGAAAATGTCGTCACATTTACGTCAACTTGGAGTATAAATTTTTTAGCATCCAATATAATATTTATGACAAATACATTCTAGCTCTAACAATCGGCACATGGCTAATACCTAAGTGCCGACGTGTTAAGTGTATAGACGCCAAGTCCTGAGTTCGATTTCAATGGACTACCAAGTTTTTTATTCTATATCTATTTGCGATCTATGAGGTGTTTTCAAACAGCCCTTGTCAGTATTCTACGCAGATTAACAAATTGTAAATTAAACTTACAAGAATAACAAGATATGCTGAATAAAACACTTGGAATGCGTTATAGCAAATCAATAAGCCTTTCAAAGTGTATGGCCGCCTCTTCTTCATATAGTCGGGTAATATCTTTAAGACAAGGGCTAAATATGCGCCGATCACGAATACCAAGTACACCACAGTTTCCGGAAGCGTCCATGTTTCAAATGAATCTGAAATTTATAACATTATATAATAGTGGAGACGTTAGCAACAAGATCTGTTGCATAAATGGGCCAGCTTGCCCGGTAAAATATTACGACAAGAAGACAGAAGTGGAAGCAATTCCGCATTTCATCTTAAGATTGTGCCATAGAGCCAAATATTAGTCCTCTTCCTTATAAGAAAAGGAGTAAAAGAGGAAATGGACTTGACGTAGAAGTGAAGGTTGAAATAGGGTACATTTCCTCTTATGTGCATCGCCTCCTCTGTCGAGAAAAGTAGCCAACTTATCTGCATCTGCAATGTTGACTTAAGTGATAAGAATCTTTATGTGCATGTAATATGTAACACTCTTTATTAACATGTTTGATATAATACAAAAAGTGTTACATGTTACAGAGTATGTCTGTGTATCAACCTCATTATGGATTATCTCCTTATGACTGTAACTTTATAAAACCGAAGTTAAGAAAATTATTGGTGAGTTCATTGAAAAATGTCACCAGGCGTAGAGTTTGTAATGGTACATAGAAGATAGAGTTAAGAAAACAAACATAAACAAAATGAAATTAGTTAAGTGTAGGCTCACGCTGTGTAAAATACATAATGACATCAATAAATAACAGTATATAACTTTTCGGCAATTAAAACATTCTGTAAGATTTTCTTTTTCCAAACTTCTTAATTCAAAGAAGATTTACATTTTATTTTCAATATACATACAAAAGTACTTTGAATCGCAACGAATGAGTTCGTAATAAAATTAATTCCAAGAAAAACAATTTTAATATTATGACAGTCGTAATTTTAATTGTTTAATTTTTTAAAATAAATAAAATAATTCTTTTATGAACACGCATTTTACATGCTACTCGTAACGCAACACGAAAAGTTAATAAAAATTAAATGTAATAAACTTACAATCTTCAATAGATTCCTTTGTATTTCCAATGATTGGTTTATAGATTAAATCCATTTTAAAACTAAACTAATCAAGAAAACATAATTTGATAAATAATTTTACAGGAAATTATCGGTAAACAACATCGATAATAAGATCGTAACCCAATCTAAATGAAATAACTCAGAATAATTGTATTTATACTAAACGAGAGTGGTAAACGGATGAAGCAACACTGTCACTTTTGTATGCAAATTTTGTATCCGATATCCTATTTACATCGATTTAATTAATGCTAATACGAGACCTATATTAAATGTTTTCAAATACTAAAGGAGAAAACTTTCCAATTTTCCATTTTTCAACAAGCTGTTATTGCATCAGAGAACTGTCGTTACCTTCTACTAGTGAATCACCACTGTTGTTATACCAGTTTGGTAATACTATCGTATTACTAAACGACAGTATTACCACCCCTCACATTCTCTTCAAACAAATAGAACTTCATGGTAATATTGCAGATGTCTATGTATATAAATTTCGCTATTTTAACGATATCATGTGGCTAAATGAAATTACGACATTTTTTTATATCATAAGGTGACAAACGAGCGAGCGGCCACCTTAAATCACACCTGAAAAAGCGAAATGACCGTTGCCCATAGACATGCGCAATTGCATATGCGCTGCCTACCTTTAATCGACGGAGAAGATGATGCACAGTAAGAAAATATTTTCCCTTTCCATGCATCCGCTCCTCCGGAAAGTCCACTTCCACTTCCCATCCTTTTCTTAAAAGAAAAATGGTAGGAAGGGAAAGAGGACTAAATTAGGCCTCCGGGACGCACACTCATCAGACGAAACGCGGAAGTAATCCACTTGACGCCTGTCTTTTGTGTGATTGTGGTATTTCACCGGGCGAGCCGGGCCAGTTTGTGCGAAGATGTTAAAGCGGGCTCTACCACTGTTAAATTCATTTCACATTCTCAAATAAATCAAGCATTTCTCCATTCAATCGTCAATTTTGCATTTAAATATCAAACCTATCAAATTAAACCGACAGCTCTATATTTTGAGACGGTCTAAAATGAAGAAGACAAGCAACTAACATTTCTTCATGCTTACCATTATCATAGTTACCCTTAAAAACTATTCAACCAAAACATGGGCGTTGTGGTAATGATCAGTTGCACACGTGACTTTGTGTATGCATTACTGTGTGTCAATGGCATATCTTGTCATTACGTCATGGAACCATGGTTCCATTGACAAAGAGTGTGGAAAATTGCAAACTGTGAGTTGTGTGTTACTAGCACCAACATCAATCTAATAGATAGGTTAGTATTATTGGGTAATAAGAAGAAAAGCAAGAGGAATATAGAGAGAGAAAAAGACTATTAGTAGAGATGATAAAGTGCAGTGATGTTGTATAGCTACTGGAAGAAAGTATCTTCGTATAAATACTGACTAAATTTATGTTTAAAATATTCTACGTAACACCATTAAAATGAGACGTTCATCTCCGTACGGAAAGAATAGTTAAATTATTTATTAAAATAGGAAAATATTGCAAAATACTATAACATATGAGAAGAGAAGGAAAACCTTACAGATATAGTATGAGAAATCTAGACTAAGGAATGGCTAAAGTGACATCATCTCTAGGCCATTTAGTATCTCGTATTGTGATATTAAAATTAATGTTCTATTATTTGTATTTTATAGCAAATATAGTAGACCGATAAGCAAAAACAATAAACTTTCATTCTAGACAAATATCATTTTTAATTAAAGAAAATCGAGAAATGTATGTTTTGATGTCCATATCTTATATATATTTTCTCCTCAATACTTCGTTTTATTTATAATACTTGTGGTCTTCGTCTCAGTAATTAATATAAATTAAAAAAGAATAATCGTAAAACTTTTCCTGATTGAAAAAAAATAACGCAAAAAAAAAATATATCGGTATAAAATTTTTAAACATGTAAAGTAAAAGCTTGTAAAAAATATATTACTAACGAATAGGACGAACTGTGTTAAATACAGTTTATGTTGCGCTCAGTGAAGGACGTCACCGCATGTATGGAATTTTTTTATATATTTTTTTATTTAATTAGCCATTTTAAGTTTTTTTTTTGTGTAGACTATAAAGTTAAATTAATTATAATAATTAAAAATATGAGTACCGATGAAGACATTCAATACCGAGGTAAGAGTGTTACTATTTTATTTACTTTGAGATAACTTAATACTGTTGATTTCACTTATAAAAAAAGATATGCAGATAAAAAATAAATTTCATGCAATATGCTCTGGGTCTTGAGGAAAAAATTAAACTCTACATGGGCTAAGACATAGTAACCGACATATTTATTTTAAATTGATGTTGTCATAGTTAGCTAAAGTTTCAAGAATAAATTTTACTTTAATTTTAAATAATAAATTAGCGTCTAACACCATAAGTATTATTTTAGTGGAGATTCAACACTTCAAGTAAACAATTTTTTTATGTTATTTTTTTATAGAAATTTATGCAACATGGACATTGCCGCAAACTTTAACAGCAGCTGGAGTTGTATGCGTTTTGTATTTATTAACAGTTGTCAAATTCTTGCCGAATTACATGAAAGATAGAAAACCATACAGTTTGAAGACAGTTATTTTATTATACAATGTTGTTCAAGTTGCTTTATCCGCTTACAATTTCTACTTGGTAAGTTTTTTTTTTATATGATAAGGCGGCAAACGAGCGAGCGGCCACCCGAAATCGCTGAAGTAGCGAAGTGACCGTTGCCCATAGACATACGCAATTGCATATGCGTTGCCTACCTTTAATCGACGGACGAGAGGATGCACAGAAAGAAAATATTTTCCCTTTCCATGCATCCTCTCATCCGGAAAGTCCACTCTCACTTCCCATCCTTTCCTTATACGAAAAGGGTGGGAAGGGAAAGAGGACTAAATTAGGCCTCCGGGACGCACACTCATCAGACGAAACGCGGAATTGCTTCCACTTCACGCCTGTTTTCTGTGTGGTGGTGGTATTTCACCGGACGAACCTGGCCAATTCGTGCGAAGATGTTAAAGCGGGTTCTACCACTCTTTATTAAGTATTTTCAAAGGAAAGCACTGTCTGACACTCAACTAGCAAACTCGAAGTTAATATGTTATTTGTTCATTTAAAAGAAAAAGTTTAATAAATTGAACGTAAAAATAACACACATAAAATAACAATGGAATTGATAACCTCCTTCTTTTTTAAATCGGCTAAAAGACAATCAAATACGCAACGCATGAGATATGACAACGAAGCGAAAACGGAACATAACGATTGCTATACATTAGATTTGATTTTGTACTTTAAGACTAGGTTTTAAATAAACCCTGGACCTTACGTTAGCTTCTTTTCAAAATTACATTCGCTTCGATTATGGTTCACTTTGGTTATTGTGCTACAAGGCTTACGATTTGATCAATATTTATGGTGTGTTTAACAATCTTTTATTGAGTTAAAAAATGTAAATATCACGTTTCACAGTTTATCGTTCATACGTTTCAATATGGCGTGTTCCCGAGCAAATGTTGGAATGATATGAATCAACCGATGGTGAATTCAGTAAGTATTATTTCCTTGCACAAAAGACAGAATCATAGACAGAGGTGGACATACGGAAAAAGGATGTTGCCTTTTATCATACCTCTTCTCCGCCAAATACATTCCACCTTCGCTATCCTCATTAGCAAAAGGTGGAAAGAGAAATAGAACACAATTTAGTCTCTAATACTCACCCATGTCTTCTGTGTGGTCGTTCAAGCGGAAGAACGGGTCAGTCTTGCAGCAACTAATGTTCCTACAGACTCTACTATTCGATTTTTTTTCCTCAGAGATATTTTGTATGTTTTTTACTAGCTATGACAACTTACAATTAACATTTTCAGATATTGGAACCTATTATGTGGTATTTCATAGCGAAGCACTTAGATTTATTAGACACTATCTTCTTTGTCCTTCGCAAGAAATTCAACCAAGTGACGTTTCTACATGTATATCACCACTTTATTATGGTTGCTTGGGGCTGGATATACTATACCTACTTTCCTACAGACATATATGTGTTCCTTGCAATGCTCAATTGCTTCGTACATGTCATAATGTACACATACTATGCATTGGCTTCTTTGGGACCGAAGTATGCCAAATATATTTGGTGGAAAAAATATCTTACGACGCTGCAATTGGTAAGCTAAATCTTTTTTTTATATGACGCTTTTATTAAATGTAAACAATTCCTTACAAACTTGTTTATCAGTTTACTAAGATGCTTTTTTTTATATGAATCCTCGTAATTAATGTTTTGTTATTTTGTTCTTTTTACCTTACTCTATTCAAAGTTTATGACCGCTCGCTATTTTATACAGAACGCAGAACACGGTTTGAGGTATTCCCGGAAAGTAAATAGATAAGGTCACGGCGACCTTTATAAACAAAGCTTACCTCGAGCCCTTATAAAGTTGGAATCTTATAATACTTTAATTATTTAATGTTGTACATTGTTTTAATATTGTTTCAGACACAATTCCTTCTGATCATCCTTTACCTTCTTTATCATAATAAGACATCGCCGTGTCCTACATCGCGTCTGTTGCATTGGTACGGAGTCAGCAGTATTGCTGTGTTTTTCGTACTGTTCATAAATTTTTACATAAGAAGTTACTTCAGAAAGAAAATAGCAAAAGATAATTAATGAATCTGGAAAGTTGTGTCTTAAATGCAAAATGGGAGAAGAATTTTTTAAATGAGAATGTGTGCCTGAAATAAAGATACGTTTAGTAATAATTGTCCATACATAATTCTTACATTGATACTACGAGTAATAAAAATGTCATAAACATTACAGTTAAAGTTTTTAGATGTTTTATCATAGTTTATCATTTTAGTAAATAAAATAATCTTTGTAACTTATGTTTAGATAAAACTTTGCTATTAAAATTATGCAGGCGTTCCTTAATTTTATTTATAAACTATTCCCACCATCAACTAGTGGGCAGTTGTTGAAACCAAATAAAGGCAGAATATAAGAAGGAACATATCAATATACATTATTGTTTTAGCTCATTTATAAGAAAAAAACAACAATTTTTTGATATTGACCTGAAACCTTAAAATCACTTTTATGTGAAATACATTACATATGATTTTCTTCTACACTAATGATTCAACAAGTCAAATAAATAGTAACTTTTAAAAATAATATAAACACTGATATATTGTATCTACAGCCGTTAGCAAATTCTTTATTTACAAGGAAAAACCTTCATTCATATTATGAAATTTCTCCTATAGTATGGAACACAATGCAAATCGCTTTGACGTATTACATACACTCTTTTTGTCAATCTGTGTAACGTATTTCTACATCAAAGACTCGTTTACATACAACGAACGGCCGAATAAAGCGATACTCGAAAAACGACTTATTAATTATCATTGCAATAGTAATAACAATAACATCATTACTCATTTACTCTTTTTAAAGGAGATGAGATGAGAAGATTCCCTTGATATAATACATATCAAGGGAATCTTAACCATAAGTTTACGAGTAAGCTTTTATTTCATATTAAATTTACAAGTTTATATTTTGTTTATAGTATCCTATGTCCGTCTCCTGGCTCTAAGTTACCTCCTCACTAATTTTCAACCATACCGGTAAATCCGTTCTTGAGTTATAAATAGTGTAACAAACACGACTTTCTTTTATATATACATAAAAAGCAAAAAGAAAAAAAATAACAGATGTATGCATCAGTCACGATTGCTCGAATGTTTTCAGTTCATAGTGTTCGTTCGTTCGCAACAAGTGAACGGGACGAGAATAAGCATCGAGTATAAAAAGTAGGGTCCATTTCTTTACACCCGTTACAGTTGCGATACACGTTGTTACCTTGAAGATAATATATTATTGAGTTTGTACGTCGTTATTTTATAAACTGATTTATTAGTCGAGACTTATAACCGTGAAGTAGAATTACATTTTTATTTCTTGCTTCTAGCTGTTCCTTTTATTGTTTTGTTTAAGTTGTTTAACGTTATTTTACAAATAACTGTCGAAGGACAACATGTACTTGAAAGATTCACTTGTTTTAATTCTATTTCTGAGCAAAAATTAACGTTTTATTAATCGTGAATAATTGTTGTATTTGGATGAAAAAAAAAACTTTAAACAAAACCTAGCAATTTAGGAATATTACGAGTATTAGTGTCCACTAGCATTAGTGTCCACTAGTATTAGTGCCCAGCCCATTGGCCAAAATGTTACATCTATGGTTCTACGGTGATAGAACTTTCATAAGACCAGTTTTTGCGCTAAGTTATAATATTAGCATTATAATATCTTTACTTTTTGTCTATATCATCAAATCATCAGAAAAAGTCTTTTAAATGTGTATTTAATGTTATAAGACACTTTATGTATTTAACTTTAATATGTTTATTAGAAGTTTAATTTCTTATACTTGTACGTTGGTGATATAATATCACACTTTCGTCATCGCAATACTCTATAAACACAATGTAAATACATATGACAAGAACACAATGGTCGACCTTGGATGACGTTTGTATCAAAACGCAGTGAAATCTCTCCGTTTTATATATGTCACTATAGTAACATAAAACATGTCGTCGTCTCAGTTTCTTATTAAGACAAAACAACACAAAGTTATGTTCCCCGGCTCATACTCTTAAAGAGATTACACGGGAGAGGGCAGTTATAGTAATAGGAAGTATCCATTTCTTGTTCATTCCCTTTTATCTCTTCTACAGGTAGGCAGCGTACCTGCAACCTCTAACTTATAAATTGATTATTTTTGATAAAACTTGTCCTCATAAACGCCAAAAACACTCCATTTTAAGACCTTTGACGTTGAATATCTTTTTGCCAAATGCGGAATTAACCGGGACTCTGAAAAGGGTTCGGATCAGATGTGGTCCGATTACGTAGCAGCGCGGTGGAAATAGGTTAGTTGTAGAAGGCCTTACATTTCTGTCAAAAGTCATAATGTAAATATATAGTTTCCAGTAGAGTCAAGATAATTTATTGGATTAAAATTTATGAATCTAAAATAATGTCTAACAGTATTATTTATGCAATAGTCATTAGCTAGTGAGTCTTCTTACGCTGTTTATGAAATTATTAGAAGCGAGTAAAGTACCGATATCTGTCTACACTTATATAATATGTATACACTTATATAAAATATACACACATCTATAGATGATTTCATCTCTAGCTATCCAGTACCGAAATGTACTACAGCATAATCGACACAGTTATGGTCACTATTATTTCTTATTCATTACTTTAATAAAATAAGGTTACGTAACATTTTGTTTTAAAAACTATTCTTAATATAAAAAGACTGAGGTGTACTCAATATCCGGTGAGTTATTGGTAGGTAACCGGCAAGGGCCCGGTGTCGCAAGCGGGCGTAGCGGCCCGCGCAATTTGATGCAATTGGCAACTAATGTGCATCTATGCAGGCCCTACTGCCGCGCTAAATAACAAAGAATAACCTTATTATGTTACTTCACTTTACAAATTGCAAATTAGGAACTTATTGTTATGATCTAAAGACTATTTTAAATACTAAGTAGAGCAATTATCTTCACATGATTCATATTCAAATGTCTTACGTAGTATATAAGGTTACTCTTTCGTGCAAATGGCAATGATCATTTTATTGGCAAATAGATTCACCTGACCTGCTTTGCAACATGGTGTAAACTTTTGAAGTCATTTCCAGGTATTTTGTAAGTTTTGTTCTAGACACAATATCCAGACTGGATTCGTAAAATGGACACATGACAAACATTTTACAAAATGTTACTATTTAAATAAATGTTGTCTACACATTTATATCAAAATAAGACGACATCGGTGCGAATTATATTGAAAGCTAATAAGGATATGTATATATGTAATTCTTATATTTTAGTTAAATAACTAACAGTAAAAGAAAAATCCCATGCACTTTTTGAGTTCAAGGACCTACCTACCAAGGAAGAAAGTATCTACGACCCGAAAATAATAAAAAATAAAAATTGTATTGCCTTATAGTAAATTAACAAATAAAAAATATAATTAAAGTACACTTGTTGATTCATCAAAAGCGTATAACAAGCCAAGTAACCAATAATTTCTCTCTCCGCGATGTCACCTATTCGTATTTGTCTGTCCTTGATACATTATCGTAAATTGTTAGTCTGCTGGTGCTTAAAAGTTGATATTTAAATATATAATAAATTTATATATAAAAAAAGGATAAGGCCAGATAGATAATGTGTCACCTTACCGTGAATTTCTGAGACCAAAGTATCCTTTTAAAACATTTGCTTTCTCTATTTTGTCAACGATAATAACAGCTATGACGATATGTTTTATATATAGATTTTGTTCTCAGAAACCCACGGTTAGTTATCCAGGCCATAATGTTCGCTGTTATTAAGGATAAAATTTAGTGTAGCATTATTCTTGTGAGAGTAACACAAATGTCTCTTTCCAAGAAACGTCCATCAATAGATCGTTTGTATATCAGACGAGCCCAGGGTATTGTTGTCAGCGACATCGTTATCGTGGGGGTTTACAATTTAAGGGTGAATTAAAAAAAAAGTACGATAAAAGATACTTAATTGTGAAAGTATTTTAAGTCGTATTCAAGACAATATTAAAGTTGATGTGCTGACAAATTATTTCTCCATCCAAAACTTCATCCCCTATAAAAACCTTTAGGTGATTCTTTAGGTTTTAAGCGTATACGCTTCAGATATACATTGTAAGTGAATATTTTTGCTGTTTTCTAACTAAGCATCAGATTAGGTTAATTAACCCCCAAACAAATATGGCAACAATTACATACATGATGAAATGCATTCAATGAGTATACTTGTATAAGCTAAAATTTCATTTAGGTTATTTTTGTCTTTAATTATATCAATAACCTTGAGATTCCCAAATTTTAAGCAGTATTAAGATTTCGATTCGTTATAACTTTAGTGTATTACAATCACTGCGAAATGTTAAGACACCACCACGGCAGGGTTGTGAAATAGCTGGGCTGCGCCGGCGCGGCTCTCAGTAGTGAGCGAGCTACGGTACCATTGAGCCCGTGCGCCGCGCGCGACCTTCGCACGACCTTGGGGTGAGTTGACACACAAACACACAACATACACACAACTCCCCACACATGCACACTTGACCTTGGGTTTCATAACCGCCGAAAGACTTTTGATTTTCGAACGCAACGCCCCATATGTTTAATGCATTATCTGTGCTAACTTTGACATTTGAATTTTCGCGCTGATTTTAATGTCCCACTTTTATTTCTCAATTCGTTAAAAAAAATATTTTAAAAATTATTTTTACTTCCATGTATTGTTGTTAATTTATAATATTTTTTTACAACCTCAACATTTATTATACTTCTTGTGACAGTCGTGTCTTCCTCGTTAAAAACACCACGTTTGACTTTTCACACGTCTTTAATTTTCTTCCTATTATGTTATTTGGTTTCCACGTGATGTTTTTATTCATTCTAAGAGCTTTAGTTCAATGACATGAAATCCAAAAAAAAGGATTGCACATGGCGGGGATCGAATTTAGGACTACTATGGCAACGGTACTACAAAGTATTTCTTTTAATTTAGCCTGTGTAGAGTCGTCTCCCTCGATAACTTACGTTTTTAAAAACAAGATTGGTGTCCGTATGGCTTTATTTCTTAACTAGTGATCGCCCGCGAATACGTCAGAGCAGATAAAAAAAGTAGTCTGTAGTATGCCTGCATTCATCAGCCACCTACGCGTCAAATTCTCATCAAATCGTCCTAGCCGTTCCGGAGATACCTCGCCACAGACACGGATTTGAAGTCAATAATTTTAAAAAATAGTTTTGTCGTTATAGTTAAAGCAAATACATAACATAGGCAATTATTTTATTTTTGAACATTACACACAGACGGATTTAAAAAAGTGTCCGACTATACGAGGCATATTATCTTGTATTTAAACTCTCAAGAAAATCACATAAACAAACTCTTCCGATTAACATCGATAACTTAGATTCGTATGCAAACAATACGTCAGGCATTGTATAGCTATGTGCAGACCCGGAGTTATATGCTAGTTTCATACGAGGGCAGTGAGACAGAGCAGTAGACAATGCAGTACTACTATTGTTTGAACTTATTAGGTCGAGCGAAGAGACCCTTATACTATCCCACAAGGTATATCCAAATTTGGGCTTTCAATCAAAGCGGGAATAGCAATTTATATTTGTTTCTAGCTGATGTCTATCGTAAAAATCCTATTTATCTAAATTTTTATGACATTAGTCGTTGTACTTTATGCGAAACAGGTCGCCCTGTTGAATTATTGAATCTAATAAAAATTTATAGATAACATTGCGTATTGTTCTATATCGGCATCTAGGCGGTCCTCCGCCGCTGGGTGTATAAGATAAAAGCAATACTACACTGTCCCACTACACTGCAACACTATTCTCCCCCGTGTGAAATCTCATAAAGTTTAGAGGGCAATGTCAAGATCAACAAAATAAAACAACTTCTGAACTGGAATGAAAAAAACTAAAATGGCTACTTTGTTGAAGTAATAACTTATTTTAGCTTAGTTCATTCTAGGAATACCTATAAAATAACAAGCTTTATTCAGATTAATAATAGTTATGTTTTTGTTGTGTATTTAATAATAGAAAATCAAGAGACGTAATAAAATCGTGTCTCATCATGACACGATATTGAATGGATGTAACTAATGTGCATAAAATGATCATTATCTTTGAATAACAATTAATTTAGATTGCATTAAGCTTAAAAAAAACTTACCGGGAATCCCAACAGGCAACTCTCGATGTTCAAATTAAATTATTATTCGTTAGATTATTATTTGTGGAAGTTTTTCAGTATATCATAGATTAACCGTACTTTTATAGTAAGATATTTTGGCAGCAGCTTTCAGAAGCTTACTATTCTAAGAGCTAAGATTTCAGACATTTTCTACAAGAGTACTCGATTCTTATTTCTCATTTATCATTTTTTTTTATAACATAAGGTGGCAAACGAGCGAGCGGCCACCTGAAATCGCTGAAATAGCGAAGTGACCGTTGCCAATAGACATACGCAATTGCATATGCGTTGCCTACCTTTAATCGACGGAGGAGAGGATGCACAGAAAGAAAAAAAATTCCCTTTCCATGCATCCTCTCATCCGGAAAGTCCATTTCCACTTCCCATACTTTTCTTATAAGAAAAATGGTTGGAAGAGAAAGAGGACTAAATTAGGCCTCCGGGACGCACACTCATCAGACGAAACGCGGAATTGCTTCCACTTCACGTCTGTCTTCGTGTGGTCGTGGTATTTCACCGGGCGAGCCGGGCCAATTCGTGCGAAGATGTTAAAGCGGGCTCTACCACTGTATTCCTAATAGTATTTCTAATAGCCTCTCATTGTAACATGAAAGTGAACAAAGTGTACACAATGTTGCAAATTATTGCGAATTAAATTTAAGTCGAAGCAACAACGGTCACAGTTTCCAAACCGTAGAACGGATGACGCAATTTTACTCTGGTAATGCAAGTAAAGCGAAGTTCACACCGATGTCATTGTATAATTTATGAATTCCATCAAGTGAACCCACCACAAAAATACTTAGATTTGCACCTTTTGTTCTCATGCTCCCAATCTTAATAAATTTTGATTACTATATTCGTGCCTCTGCGTGTAATTAAGGGTTTTAAATGTCGTGGCATGGATCATATTGTAAGATAAAAAGTGAAAACTATTTTATTTTAATTTTTAAACCTTCTCCGCCGTTATCGGAACATCATACTAAATTTTATCACAGTATGTCCAATGTTTAATGAATACATATGTGACAAATGTACAAACATTAATACGTCTTTTACATTTTACGATCCGTAGAAAATGTCCAGTGTGTACGCTACCTTATAATAATGTACATCGGTCCGTTTAACATCATCTAGCGATCTTCATCGTCTTAATTATCGGATGACAACATGCAAAATCTTTGTTAACAATAATAATTATTACATAAAGTACATCTCGCTAATATTATAAACGCGAATGTTTAGATTGATGGATGGATCTTTCTTTGAAGGTCTCTCAAGAACGGCTGGATGGATCTCGTTGACATTTGACATAGACGTAGCACATAGTTTGGAAGAACACATAGGCACAGTTCTACGGATGGAGTCGTGGGCGACCACTAGTAATCAATAAAACTACATCGTTTCATGCTATTCAATAAACTTTTTTAAATACGTCTAGTTTAGTTTTATATGTCCCATATTATAATATATTAAATGTATTTATTATATATATATACTTGTTTAGTAAATGAAATAAAAAGTATTCAAATGCCTTCTTTTCCTAAATATCTCCTTAAAGCAATTACAACCATAACATAGTTGTAATGCGTTGTTTTTTCCACCGCAATCTTCTATAAACTTGTGGTTTTCGCATGATTACAACTCATTGTTTTTGCGATGAACATAATATGTATGACGTTAATTTTAAAAGTAATTTTCTTTTCAAGATTTTCCACATTGCGTTACGTAAATATAATTAGATTGCGACAAAAAATATTTCTTTAAATATGTAATAGTTTTAAGTTGAAAATATCAAGAGGTCCTTTATCATCTGATGATCGTACAAGTAACGCTTTTTGTCTTTTCCATAAATTGCCTCTATCCAGTGCAAGGTCATATCATCTGTCTATCTTGTCGATTCTTTTGGTCTTAGCAATTACTCTTATTTTAATACTAGCTGTCGTCTGCGACTCCGTCTGCGCGAAAGGAAAAGAAATCCTAATCAGTAGTCATCCATCCAAACATTCGCATTTATAATATTAGTAAGATAATGTGCATTTTATAAGATTGACTTCAGAATGTTTAAAAATCTCAAGACTGTTTCTCAACACACAGTCACTAGAACATAATCGGCTATGTCAATATTAGTCCCAAATTTTGTGACCTTGAAAGACATAGAGTGCTGTTCCACTACGCGCCTAGTTGCACGACTCTATCGAGCACGACTACTTCTATGACAGCTGCGACCGCACTAGTGGAACTGGTACTATACTGCAATGGTACGGTAAAAGCAGTAGCTAAAAGCCGTCGTGCGAGTATTCACTAGTGGAAAAAGGGGTTTTATTAGAAGGCAAGCAGTAGACTACTCGTGTAAATGTTGTGTAAGTGCCAGTTTGTTTTTATGATTTGTTTTATAAGTTAGAACACAGAGAGGGTGTGACACAAGGTCATGACACATTAACCGTGATTCTAAATACTACAACATATGATAGTTGCGATTTATAGTTTCACGCTTTACTTTGTTTAAGATATTAAAAATACCATCTACATTGTATTTTTATTTCTTTTTTACTAAAATTATATTCCTCAATTTTTAGTTTTGTTTTTAATTTTTTAATTTATTTAAATTGTATACAGATTTATAAAGTCCTGTTTATTTGTTAACAATTATAGAGTTAATAATTTTCAGAGCTGACGTTTGATGTAAAACAAGTTTTATTTATTTTTATCAACGCGTTTCTAAGTTGGCAACTTGAAGAGTCTACGCGCGGCCGTGACCGGGACTTCCGAAATGTTAAGATTAACTTAAGTGAACCGTGGCGTAACTTATGTTGCGAATCGTTTTAATTAAGTTGTGCCTATTCAAACTCTCTGGTCAATAGAAACAGTAAAAATAATAATTTTGTTTATGGTTGGTTCGTTGTATTTCTAATAATATTCTAAAAAGGTAGCAGGTAGGTATTACTTTTATTAATTTAAATAAGAAAACTTTTTTCATTTGGTTAATACCCTTTTCAGTTTTTTTTTAATTCATGTAAATAAAAATCTTTTTTATCTTTGGTTAAATATGGTATCCTGCGATGCCAAAACCCGTCTAATTAAAAGTTCGTTAGCATCTTCGATTTGGTAACACAAATTTATTAGTTCAACTTAGTATTTTGTTTATTAATCTTTAAAAAATTATTATTATGATGATAACATAATGGCAACCCTAACGATGTTGCAATGTATTCGCGTCTCAGTTGACGAGTTTAAGTGTGCGTGTGGCATTGACCTAATGTTAAACCAGAGATGTCGCAGGTCACCGCCACCAAATTGAAGTGAAATATTAAAACTTAATTCAAATGTTTCGTGAGTTAAAAGAAGTGGCAGCCCTAAAATACTGGTCTTTAACCTAATAATTCATGAAATTATTTTTTTTAAAATGGTTGTCATATTTTTAAATCTTATTTTTATATACGTTACTTGCTGCCGCCTGCGGCTTCGTCCGTGCGGAATTAAAAAGAACTGAATTAGATTCCTACGTGCTTATCTCGATTATGTTCTACATTCATCCATACATACAAACATTCGCATTTATAACATTAGTATGATAAGATTTTAGATACTTTTATTTTTTAACCAACAATGCCGCGTAGATCTGTCTGGCATTATGTCGCGTTATATATTTGCCTTAAGTTAGACTTCTACAAGTCCGTTTTGTGTATGTCTAACATTTAATCAAGTCTATCATTTACAAGTAGTATCGTGTTTTGGTAAAGCAATAGTAAATATCTTGTGTAAGCACTCGCTACTCGCGGCGTGATAAGGCGAGACCAACCTTTCTGGTCGGCGGACCGGTTTAATGAAATTCGTTGCATTTCTCAACAAATCACTCGGAATTTGTTAGTTTACAACCTTATTTTACGATTAACAGTATTTTTTTATCCTTTATATTGTATTTGTTATCAGAATATGATACATTGACGACCAGGGCCATTAAGTGCCTGAACGACACTCTGTCGCACAGTTCTCACGATTCAAATTTTCACTTTTTTTTTTGTCCACGAGTGTAGTACATGAGTACAGAATCTTATGAAAGGGTGGTAAATGAAAACCATACCGTCGTCGGATTACGGCTAAGCCGTCTTAGCTAATCCTTTCCTCGTTGTCACTACTGGTATAAAATATTTTTGTGTTGTACCACTCTATATTTCTTGATGTCAATATAATATTCATTTTATATTTTAACTTTTTTAGTACGAAACAGGAGCTCCATATGGAGGTGTATTCGGCCTTACTCTCGTTCCGTTGGGGCGATTCATGCTGTAGTAGAAAGGCGGCGGTTGCTCCACCGCGCCGGACGCTTGCCTCACACTGTAGATTCTGACTACGCATGGCTATTAGAATTTTCTAGTAATATTACTCATATGGCGAATTTTAATGTGAAACTATTGTCATCTCTGTTTTATTCCAGAAGAATGAAAGGGATAACAATATTGTTGCACTACAGGTATTAAGATAGTGAAGACTATACATCATTGTAATTACAAATCGTGACTTATGACTACCGGAACGTAATCTCACGCGCAAATCTTCATGTAGTTACATTTTTTTTTCAAGTATTTTTTATCTCAGGGATCACATTGTCCTTCTATCCAAGGCGAAACAATAAACGCTTGCACGTGTTTTATTGTTGACTGTTGACTGAGAGTCTTAAAGTTTACGTTCAGGTAAATCTATCGAGTTGCTTGTAGGGTAATGCCACGTACGAAAACTACACGTCATTTTTGTTATAAAAAACTAAGACCCAGCATTGATATTTATTTTTTTATTTAATAATTGTATTTACTATATTATTAATAGTATAGTCAAAGTTTATCATAATGTATTTAAGAGTCATTTTATCAATTACCATGTAAATGCCGCATCAATCACGTCGACTACTTAATGAGCTTAATGTAATAACGCCACAGACTAGCAGTACCATGAGTAAAGCGCAGCACGATAAACCGTATGTCAATTGATTTTGACCTTTGAATTGTTTCTACAACGAATCGAAGTTCGTTCGTAAACAAAGATTAAGAAATATACTCAAAGGTGGTTGCAATATTGATTTCATAATTATTCATCGTGGTAGAGGAACCTTTCACTGCAGCCGGCGTCTGTTCCGATCTGAATGAACTTACGAAAATCTTTCAAAATTCTGATTATACACCTTTATTTACTTTAATTAGCTTATTAATTTTATAAAAGCGAATGTTTGTATGGATGGATGAATGTTAGAAGGTAACTCGAGAACGGCTAGATGTAAAAAACCTGGAAGGACACATAGGCTAATAATTACGTTTTTTTATTTTATTACAAACTATTTTTTTAACTGACACAAGTTTGAAGCTTGTGCTAGAATATAGTTGAAAGTCGTATGGGATATGAACCCACGATCGCAAGACCGGTAGTCCATACTTAACCATTACGCTTATGGAGTTAAGGAATCTTAGTATCCTAGGTTCAGAAAAGTCTGAAATTCTTCAAGGATTGTTGAATATGTCATTACACTTTAATGCCTTTGTTTGGTTTCGTTTAAAAAACTTGATGATATTAGAAGTTTTTTTTTTATTTGCGTTGCTTATAACAGTGAATAATTGTAGGAACGGGGAAATACCTTGCGAGGTCCTCGACTGCTTCTCTTAATGACGGCGAACGAACAATGGAAACGCAGTCATTATAACTAGATTAACGAAAATTGTAGGTTTTGTGACAAGGACGATGACGCATGAATCATCACGGGTTTTAATAGACAGAACACATATATACATGAAAAGCCGGAAGATCTGTACAAAAATTTCCTCCCAAACTAAGCTAAGATGGAAAGGTTTATAAGTGAAATAGCTTCCATCTCTTTTTACAAGATATAATAAAATTTCATATTAATACAATTGAAATGTCCGTATGTAATGTTGCAAAAAAATCATATTTCATAAACGTGATATATTTGCATAGCTGATAACGATAAACCAATTTTAACAGTGGTAGAGCCCGCCCGGTGAAATACCACGACCACACAGAAGACAGGCGTGAAGTGGAAGCAATTCCGCGTGCAGTCTGATGAGTGTGCGTCCCGGAGGCCAAAATTAGTCCTCTTTCCCTTCCCATCCTATTTCTTATAAGGAAAGGATGGGAAGTGGAAGTGGACTTTCCGGATGAGAGGATGCATGGAAAGGGAAAATATTTTCTTTCTGTGCATCCTCTCCTACGTCGATTAAAGGTAGGCAACGCATATGCAATTGCGTATGTCTATGGGTCACTTCGCTATTTCAGCGATTTCAGGTGGCCGCTCGCTCGTTTGCCACCTTGTGATATAAAAAAAATTATAAATTTTTGTCTGTTTGTCCACAACTCCGCGTTTGTTTCGGGCAATCTCCGGATCGGCTGAACCGATTTTGACGGAACTTGGAAAGAATGAAATACTGATGCACGCATAGGTTACTTATTTAATTCTCCGCTGACGAAGTTGAAAATCGCTAGTTTTAATATATTTTTTTAATGAGATGATGCAATAAAATAAGAACTATGCCACAGGAATTGTACGGCAGCAACAACAACACAAAGTACCGGCACCATGTGGCACTTCTTTATTACAAATAATATACCTCATTGTTTCAGAGGAATAATCTACAGAGTGCATCAAAGAGCTACACTATGCTGTTTACCATCCTGATCTATCTGGTGTACTACATGGTGTATACCATTCTCTTGGCGATCGCCGGCCTCTGGTGCTTCGAGGAGTGTGTGCTCACCGAGGAAGAGGAGTACGACTTTGTGACACACCACAGAGCGTTGCCGTACTGAACAACGTGCACTGCTCTATTGTGCCACGATTGCGTCTTCCTTGAGCTGCGAGTCCTGCTTAACTGAGCAACGAGTCCCGCTCAACTGAGGAACGAACTGACCTTATCATTAGGATCCCGGCTACGATGAGCAACGTGCCTTGCTGTACTTAGCTGCCTAATACTGTAAGTTTTGTACGCATACAAGCAATTTTTAGTTTAATATGTTCTAATGTCTCAAATAATTTTCTCAAGTTATTTTACGACTTAAACTATAAGTTTTGTAGAAGTGTAGTATAGAAAAACAATAATTCCACCATTACTCATATCCTTTTGGATTTATTTTTTTGTAATATATTCGTAAATGTATTCGTGCGTAACATTATGATGATTTGAGGAAAGTTATGAAGTTACGTGAAAAATTACAACAGGACGTTAAACAACCTTGATGTTAAACAGAAACTTCTAATAATAACATGCAAGTAGGCAATATATATTTTGTAATCATTTCATATCTTACTAATATTTTAAACTAGCAGTCGCCCGCGAAACCTTCCGCGCGAGACTGAAAAAAAATAATTAGTAACCCATGTGTTCTATATGTATGGCAAATTTCATCGAGATCTGTTGAGCCGTTCTGGAGATATCTTCAGACAAACATCCATCCATCTATAAAAATATTCGCATTTATAATATAGTAAGATGCGAATGTTTGGATGGATGCATAGATGCATAGGAGCGTCGGTGGCTCAGTAGTCAAGCACTTGACTTGCAATCTGCAGGTCCTGGGTTCGAATCCCGCCATGTACCAATGTGTTTTTCGATTTCCGATTTACATATGTACATTTATCCGATGGTCTTACGGTGAAGGAAAACATCGTGATGCAACCTGCACATATCTGAGAAGAAATTCAGACATGTGTGAAATCAACCAACCCGCACTTGGCCAGCGTGATTGACTATGGCCTAATCACCCTTAACTTAGGGTAGGCTCCGAGGCCCTCGGTGGGGACGTATAGTGAGCTGACGATGATGATGATAGATGCATGTTGGTTAGAAGGTATCACCAGAATTACTGGATAGATTTCGCTGAAATTTGACAAAGATATAGAACATAGTCTGAAAGATCACATAGGCTACTAATTAAGTTTTTTAATTACGCACAGACAGAGTAGCAAGCGATAGTTAGTAACTTTGTTACGCCAAAATGAAAAAATAAACCCAGAATCACAAAAATGGAGAACAAAATTTGCATCTACTTGTATTTCAACTTCTTATGGCAAAAAATTAACAGTTAGATTTAAAATACAAAAAAGGATCGAACCCCCCCCCCCCCACCCCTTGGATATATTCCTAATAATTGTTCGAGTGACCATAGGGTCGAGACCGAGTCTTTTTTGTTTGATATGACGTAGATCCTAGTCTACAGTCGTTAATCTTCTTCATTTAGCTTCGTTTTGCGATAAAAAGCATAAAATAATATTTTTCTTTATATGTCTTTGGAAATAACGTTCATCAATGACTTGCGTCAAAAAGTTACGAAACAAAAAACAAAGCGCTTTACCGAATACAGAGTAATACACGAGATTTAATGGACGTTCCTTAATTCTAATTTATATTTGAATTCGTATTATTAATACTATGAAAATATATTTATAATTAAAACGTACCTACACAATTAAGGTGTGTTTACACAACACTTTTTAACAAGGTCTGTGTCACATAACGCCTATTTTCTCTAACGTATACAACATTTACGATTCGTAAAACCTTCAGATGTCATTCTATGAAACATGCCTAAAATTTATATTGAAACATCATGTTATCTCTATTTTTTCAAATAGTATAAAAGGGATGACAATATTTTTCATAATATTGTCTTTACATCGTTAACCCTCAGTAATACGAGTACAATACGGGTTATGTGGTTAACCCAGTTAAAGCGTGCGCTTGAACTACGCGAAAAATGTTCAAGCAAATACACAATATTGAGCAATATGACATCGCGACCGGCACAAGGTTTAAACACTAGTGTAGTTTCATGTAGTGACTACTCAAATACATTGCTTTTTAACCGGCGTTTTAATATATCCACAGTTTTCCCCAAAGCTTTAAAAATATTATTCAAACATTCATATTCATAAGAAATTCAAAAGGCAAAAATTACGGATTTACTTTTATTACGATTCTCGCACATCTTTTTACTTATAGTCTTATCCATATTAGTTTATTCTTGAATCTCTATTAAAAACATACAAATATTAAATAATCCAAAAACATCTTTGCTCGTACTCATTTTTTACGGGAATACTAAGATCATAGGTTTCATAATAGCGAGCCATTCGAGACAGAGACAAAGAGAGAGTAAGAAAGAGAGAGGATACATTTTTGAAAGAATAATCCGTACTTTTGATGCTAGAAATAAAAATGTACATAATTTTATTATCAGAGTAATGTATTTTAATGTTGAAGTCATTACTCTGTGCACGCTTGAGAGGATCAAATTGTTTTTGTTGTCTAAACATATTAAAATTGTTGTCTCGTCGATGCATTCAGTAACGTTAGTGCCTGTATTGTCTTGTAAAGAAACGCTTCAAAAGATTTGTGCGAAAAAATTTACGAAGAAATATGTTTTGAATTAGTGATATATTCGTCCACTTCCTTGAACAGGTAAAAATCATACTGTATTTAAGTGTTTTTTCATAAAGGTATTCTAAAATTTTAGACTTCCTTGTAGATTTATCTTTCTTAGTAACAAAATTTTAAGAATAAGATATAATCATATCTATTTTGTTTATCCTTTCCTAGTACGTCGCAAGTATTTATTTGACATCTTATATCTGAACATCCGTTAGTATTACCTAATTGGGTTTACAAGATAATAAGTACATATTTTTTTCGTGGGGTAACACAATAAATGTATTAAAGTCATTTTCATAGAAACTACATTAATTTTGAATATAAATTTAAACATTATACAATGAAAAACAATTAATTGATGTTTAAATATAATTTAAATGTTCAATTTAATGCAATTTTACAACAAATTAAAATGCTTTAATAGCATTTGCTATTGTCATTTTAAATACAATGTCAAGTTCAAAGATCGCTTAAATTGTATTAGAAAATGAACTTGCAAGAAACAATGGTATTTGTTTTCAAAACAGATTACACTAGGTGTATTTTATATTTGACATGAAACGTTTAAATTACATTATGAAGAATGAATTACCTATTATATTTAAATTAGTTAAACATCTACATAGTTATTAAACCATTCATCCATTTATGTCATAAAAAGTAACAACAGTAACAATCTTGCTTAAATTTGAGACATTAATACTAAAGAAAACTAAATTATCACAGTTCTTCATACGGTTCAGCGCGTTTCAGATCGGTTTATTAATATTTACTCGTGGATATTTAATTTTTTGGTTATTGTTTGTTCTTGGCTCAATCATACTAAATCAAAGTTAATAAATCAAGTATTTTATAAATTTTCTATCGTGCTCATTTGAATCGCAATATCCTGGCGATTGCGTGAACAGTCGCGGAAATTATTTACATCGCTTGCTCAACACCGCCCGTGCCCTTCGAGAATAGTTTCAAATGCATCAGTGAATCATCACTCAACAAAAAACGTAAGGCGTTTCGTCTCCTTCCTGTCCATTAACTATTACTATTATTATTAACTTAACTGCCACGTACTTCTAATTCTAATTAATATTTTTATTGGAAAAAGGAAAAGGAGTAGAATTAGGTCGGGTTACATACACCTCAATTATTTTCTATATGTCAAAATAAAGGAAGCAAAAACGCATTTTTGCTATTTAAATTATTTGTAAGTAATGTAAACTGAAATCTATTTTTTTTAATGTTTTATGTATTTTTTGATAAACCTGCATATTTAGGAAATTATCTATTACAAGAAAACCCACCTATTAGTGTTGTTATTTCGTTTCTTTCTTCTGTAATTTTGATATTAACTTAAGATCGAGATTTTAATTAATAATCATATACTTAAATTACTCGTTTTTATAAGATGTTGTCGTAAGTTATTTGCCCTTGTTTGGTTACGACACAATCCAAAAATTTACAGCGAAAGCAAAATATTTTTTTAGCTCATTTGTAGTATTATTAGCTTAACTCTTAAAATCTAGGCCAATTAAAGTAATATATTTATCCGAAGAGGGAATGTTTAATAAAATTAAACAGAGCATAACATTATTACCAACATCTTTGCTTTATAATGAGTGTAATGTGTACAACATAGTGTGTACTATGAAATATGTAATGAGTACACAGATTGTACTAAAATGTGTAGTGACAGTGACCTAAGCAATTAGGGCTGGGCACACTAGTCGAGGTTGACCGCTTTGAAGATCACAAGGTTGAGTTGTGTAATTTTTACACAATTCATAAATTGTGTAAAACTATATTTCACTACTCACCGCGATTTTGTCCGCGGAGAATAAAATGTGACTTTTCTATGTTAATCCCGTTTTATAATGGCTTATATTAAATTCTATCTTCGTAGTAAGATAAATCTTTGTAATACAACGTTTAAAACAATTGTAATTGTACACACATCCATTAGCGTTTGTTCTACGTATCGTATGTTATCGTAAACAACATCTTTGTTAACATAAAATGTAAGGAAAGAAGACACGCAATTAATAAATAAGAATGATATTGAAATCGCGCTGTAAATTTAATTCAGCGTGATTCTTAAACACGTTCAAGATTAATTTGCTTTGAATATTATAAAGTAAAATACACTATTTAACATGTATAGTAAATCTAAAACATAGAAAAATTTCGTGTTACGATGTATGTTCGCGATAAACTCAGAAAATACTGTAACAATTCTGTAATTTGGTCTAACTGGGGAGATAGGGTAGTTTTTTTATCTCAATTATTGATCTTTTTCCTTTAATTGTATTTATTCATAATTTGGACAATTTTTTTTTCAGAACTTATCCGTTTTCTTTTTTCTCTATAATATTATTATAAGAAAAATGTTTTTATGTTTGTCTCCTACGTGCTTTCAAACCTGAAATGATTTTAAATTGGTTTAATTTTCTCAGAACACAAGAGAAAACGATAAACATATCTGTAAAATAAAAAAAAATTAGTTACCGTTATCGTTTCGATATTGTTTTGAATGTGGGATTGCAGCCGAATCCAAGTGTAATAACGAGATGAAACATGCAGATCCACAAAAGATATATTTTGGCACACCTGCACCACTTACGTAAACATTTAGCTTACGTTCGAGAACTCTATGTGCGACCTTAACCTGGTTAGCAGCAGCACCAGCCACCACCGGCCACGGCTGCGACGTCGGCGGCAGTCGCAGAACGAGTTATGTATTTTTCACAATCTCTTGCGAAAGTTGACCTTCACATCACGCCACTTGAAGCTTTTCTTAGGAAAGCAGACAAATGGAATTTGATGAATAACAAATATTTCTCTTTATAATCAATATAGATAAGAATAGGCTACCAGAACCCGTAATAGTAACACTCGATTAGTGATAACGGTAGTGGAATAGACAAAATGTATAAAAATAAATAGGCAACGTATAGGTATAGCCAGTAACAATGAATTTTAGCCGTATAAATAATCGTGACAAAATACGTGCATAATATCGTGGGTTTCCACTGTCGAGATACTCGTAAAAGACAAACTGTATTACTCCTAAAAATACAGTTCGACAATGTGTGGTATAACACGTGTTTTAATCCTTTGAACGCATTTGATAAGTTTTTATGGTTTTTATTTACCTATAATCTCAGATTTTTCAAAGAGAATGTAAGCGATGACAATCTTAACACGAGTATTTTGGAGTTTAAAACTCACGAGCAGAAGCCGTAAACATAATATTTATGACGAAACAATATAGCATTTCCAGCGTTCAAAAGTCAATTCCTACTCATAAATAATTTAAAAAACGACAAACCAAATATTTTGTCATATAATATTTACATTTCTATTCGCTAAATTTCGTAAGAAAGCCTAAATGATAAATCATTAAATTCCACCTTGATTTTGTTCAAATACCAGAGCCGAAAACTATTCGAATAAATTGCATAGCCGACCCTGAGCAACGCGGTTACGCAAAATAATTCTATGAAAGTTGCGGGTACGCGCTTGATACATGATAATTACTTGTTAAAATATTATAACCAACATCAAGCATTTTTTTAATCTTAAATAGTTACTTTTATAAAAATATTCCAGTATTTTATATACTATATGTTAGGAGCTTCATTGGCTGTAAACAATTTCAACAGTATCGTATGTATCTCTAAAAATAAACTAATAAATAATAAAACAATCTTTAAATCCAACTTGACCGTTATACCGTAGGTTTCTGAGACAAAAATATCCATATTTCGTCAAATATAATGACAGTGATGCTTAAATGTTTTATTAAAGATATTAGTCTTAGAAACCAACGGTTTAAATTGTCAATTAAAGATTTTCTGTATTCGGTTTATTTCAATTATTCTTATAAAACTTTATTAATACGGATTAGTTATTTAATGATTTATATATAAGTTTGCGCAAACTCGAACTCCGCAATATAATGCAAGTTGCATCAGAAAATTGAGCTAATTAATTATTGTTTGTGTAAATCTTTGTGCATTTCATTGCGTTTCGTAATCAATGATAAGTGCATTATTATTGCAGATAATTTTGTATTCGGAAAGATGTTGACATTGTTGTATGACTTCAGATAAATAAAAGTAAAGACAGATCGGCTTTACCTAGTGATCGGAAGAAAATCCGGGACTGGCGCAACACTAGCCTTACAAAAAATATCGACGTTTATGTCCCCTCACTAATCATTTTTGTCACTCGACTTTTTAACGAAAGCGCGCCATTCGCGCAAAAAGATTATAACTAATAATGTCTAAAACTAATTAAAAATCTTAGGTTGTTCTACAAAATATTAAATTATTGTATTTAATATTTTTAGTAACATTTGAATTCCTAAAATGCTGATATCCACATCGCTCAGTGGTCACTAAATAGTTAGAGATTGCTAATTGCCTTTTTTTCCGTTAAAAAAAGTAAAATTCAATACCCAATTTATTTTTTTAACTTACGCCCGTAGTAATTCTAAAATTCTATTACAACTTTTTCTTTCAATTAAGCACAAACGCTTGGCAATAAGCTCTTGACATTGAGCAAAGGGGAACATTGTACAAGTTCACTGAAACTGTGCCAGTGAAAGTTACTGCTAGCGCCATCTCTGAGCTATTATGTGTACTAAGAAATACTTCGACATGATGAGAGATCTTTGTTATGCATTCAGATAGTTACAAAGAATTTTTTTAATATTAATTTATTTCCATAACGCTGTAATTTCATTAATTAAATAATGGTTTAAAAATTAATAACTTAAACAATAAAACGCAATCCCTATAAACTATTTTCTTAGTAGTTGATATACCACAGTTAAATTTGCCATTATGTATATTATTATTACTTGACAATTAGGCTCTCAAGTCATAATAATTTCCAACATAATTACAATCAACATATAATTTTATACTTCTATGATATACAACATAAATATTACACGGATCATTTTACGAGTTATGTTGTACATTACCATTCATATGTGCGCATATTTCACGCGCAGAATTTTCAAACATTATATTTCTAAACGCACATAATTAACAGCTATAACGTAACGTTAACCGTTACAAAAGTTAAATGATATATAAAATATTTATGTATGAAATTTGGAAATCAATCGAAGGTCGTGGACGGGGATAAAATTTCTTACTAAATGGCAAACTGGTTCTTCACTAATAAATATAATTAAAAATGTTTCTCCAAATTATTATCTTAAAAATTACAAGTAAGAATATATTCATTTATTTTAAAAACTTTACTTTGAACAAAAAAAAGAAGTTAAAATTTATGTAACATAAGCTAGATTTTAAAACTTATCGCCAAAGTAGCTAGTAATAATATTATATAAAGTTGAAATATCATTTTAGACCGTTATCAATGTATCGTTTATAAAACAGTAGATAATTTCTAATTAATAAAAATATAATCTTATCAAAAGAAACCTTAAAACGACGCTGGAGGGAAACTGTTTGTCGGAGGTTGTTTAGGAAACGTCAACGGTGTGAGTTCGTGTTAAAACGCAATTTGTAATGTCGCAATGTTTGACGTATACGTCTTTTTGTAAGTGGGGGAGTATCGCCGCCATTGGCAACTCTACGCGGGAGATTCAATTCCGTTTCGGAGAGCGACTCGCGCGCACTTTCACGCAAAGGTCAAGTTTTCCCTTTCGTTCGTTGCAAAGAGATGTGCCTTTGATTGTGTCAGCAAAAAATATTTATCGTAAAATGACGTTACGCATGGGAACTGATTACCGGTAAAAAATATTTTCCAATAAAATTAAATTTGCTATTAAAAAAATTGTGATTATTTATATTTTAGTAAAACTGTTATCCTTTAATTTATAATGTGTATTACTTTTTCTTTTAAGGTGACGACTTGCAGCCAGCAAATTGTGGCCGTGTTTTGGCAGACAGTGATTGGATTTAAGTGGCGTGTGAGTGTCCAGTGATTTTAAAACAATAAAAGTGAAAAGTGGTACAAAATAAACTATCAAAATGACGGGTTTCGTGAAAATCGCCATCGACGATTACTATTCGGACAACAATTGGACAACCATCATAAACAAGTACTGGATGCTGGCAGAGCGAGTGTCAGGTACATACATAAATGTTTCATATCCTTTAACCGTGGATTTCCACTGCCGAAACAAATGAACAAAAATATATTATCTCTGTTACTTTTAGATATTATGAGAATTTGTTTTTGTACACATAAATCCAATTATGGAGGTTTTAATAAAAATTATATAATAAGTTCCAAATATAATCATTACAAAATTGAGTCACATCTACAAAGCTTTTACATTATTTGAAATAAAGTTTAATGAATTTGAATATAACACATATTAAAGTGGTTAATCGTTCTTAAATATTTCACTAGGTGGCGCATTTCTTAATTTTTATAACACTGACGGCTTCATAGAATCATGACGAATTATGAATTTATTTGAACACATAATTTAATGTGTTACTTAAAAAATAGGTTTTAAGATTTAATTGAAGACGTAAATATAAATCCATCTAAGTTTTAAAAACACTCAAAAAAATTAGTCGTAACCTCCACGATTAGTTTAATTTAAACATACGGCAAATTTAAACGAAGCATTTTACACTTTGTCATGGCAAAAGTAAAGATTGATTGCTCGCATCTTTCATTCCAATAACACGTCCGTCAGTCTAAGAAAAAACGTGAATGTATATTTATTCGGATAGTTTGATTTATTATCGCAACATTTACTAACACCATACTTTTACTTTGCAATACATCCAACATAACCCCTAACGCCTGCTCCATTAAACTAGCCCGCGTGACTAATAACGTGTAAAAAGTCTTTTAATCCGTGCTAAGTTTTCATAAAAATATCTTATACGTACTTTTAAAGAATTATGTCGATTTAAATAGTAGGTCATTGACCTCATAAAGTAACTATAAAAGCAAACCGAGGTTCCTGTCTCATTTACTGTCTTTATTTACATGTCTCACGTCGAGTCTTTAATTAGTCCCAAACCTTTAATGTAAAATAAGATAACAATATGTTTCAAACGGAGATGTTAATCTCTGAAACCCACTATAAATTTACGTAAAGCCGAGATCACTTAACGACTGTGGGCAATAAGAGTTAAACTTTATTTCTCAGGTACTTTTAATCGATATCAAAAAGTTCTCATTTCGTCTGTATCTTTATAATTTATTGCACAATGTTTTTGGACTCGTAAAAAGCTGAAATCATATATCAAGTCATTAGCAATATTGGTATCAAAAAAGGTTTCATTACTTCGAACGATTTTATACTAAAACTTACCAATACTTTTTAAACAAGTACCAATAGGTATAATTATATAGGACAACTGAACAGCACTTATCATTAAGTTCTGTCGTGTCGACTGTCAGTTCCCACGTCATTGATTATAGGTATTTGCATATTTTTTGCAGACAAATTCGATGGCTGTTGAATAATAAACAATAATAATTAAAACTTATTTATGTTTTTATAAATTATAGAAACAATTGAACTTGTTAGCTTTGTTTGTTTAATAATTAGTTTAATTAAGAGACTATAATATCAGTATCATTATTTTTTAAATCCTTTTAGATACCAAACACGGTAGTGATAATAAAAACATTACATAAATCATCATCAGCTCACTATACGTCCCCACCGAGGGGCTCGGAGCCTACCCTAAGTTACGGGTGACTAGGCCATAGTCAACCAAGTGCGGGTTGGTTGACTTCACACATATCTGTGAATTTCTTCTCTGATATGTGCCGGTTGCATCATGATGTTTTCCTTCACCGTAAGAACGTCGGATAAATGTACATAATTCGGAAATCGAAAAACACATTGCTACATGGCGGGACCGAACCCAGGACCTGCAGATCGCAAGTCAAGTGCTTGACCACTGAGTCACCGACGCAATCAGAATAAACAAACTAACTTCTTCCTAATATTATAAGTGCGAAAGTTTGAATGTGTTTGAAGTTTTCGAATAGAGTTAAATTTCAGGTTGTTATTTTGCTTTTAGGCGGCAAAAGTCGCGCGTTACAGCTACTATATTGAAATAAATTTCGTCTGTAGTCTGATATTATCCTTAATTATTACATCTTTTCTGGGGATTTTGTTCAAACAGAAATATTTCATTGCGTTGCTTCGTCATAGTTTAATGTTTAACAAGTTTATGAAACAATTAAAAACTGAATTTTATTTTTTTAATACCGTTATTAGTTAAAAGAACAAAATCTTCGGAAAACTCTGAAAAAAAAATGAATAAATTTTATTGGTTACATATTAAAGGAAAAGACTGAAAAGTTTGAGGTCTCTATGACTTTATGTCTTTATTAAGATTCCTATAAAAAAGCATTGTACAATAACCTTAATATAATTCCACTATTAATTTAAGATTAATTAATATATTACGTTTTTGTTCAAGAAACATTCTTTAAGATTTTGGACAAAGCATGTAAGAAAAGAAAGAAAAACAAAGAAAGATTTAACCAAAAACAATGATAACAACTAATAATATTCCTAGTTTATTCTAAAAACCATCCATTTTAATGTCTTTATTAAAGTTTTTACTTTTGTCATTGTTAGGACCATACCATGTAAGTCCATATACGTACATTTAGGTGAAATATTTCAAAAGTATATTGATATATAGAGCGCCGGTGGCTCCAGGGTTTCAACCCTTGACTTGCAATCTGCAGGTCCGGGGTTCGAATCCCGCCATGTACCAATGTGTTTTTCGATTTCCGATTTACATATGTACATTTATCCGACGTTCTTACGGTGAAGGAAAACATCGTGATGCAACCTGCACATATCTGAGAAGAAATTCAAAGATATGTGTGAAGTCAACCAACCCGCACTTGGCCAGCGTGGTTGACTATGGCCTAAACACCCTTAACTTAGGGTAGGCTCCGAGCCCCTCGCTGGGGACATGTAGTGAGCTGATGATGATGATGATATTGATCTATGACTAATTTTCTTTCTCGATAGAACTTATTAATAACTTTAAAGTTAAATTTCAAGTTAACAAAAATTCCTTATAGTGATGGTTACTTGGAGAAAGCTTCAACAATGGCGTAAGAAATTACGATGTATTAAAAGTAACCCATTTGTGTACTGGAGTGATTAAATACACTTATATAATTACAATTACTAACTATAAATTATCGCGCAAATATCCAGTACATTAACTATTAAGTACCACAAATTTCTACTCTATGGCGCCTAGAGACGTGAAACTACAGACATTCATATAAATATTTCCAAATTGTTCAACAGTTGAAGGAAACTCCGATGAATAATATTGAGTTACTATTGGTTTGTTTGTTTTGTAGATTTAACGAACAGAGAATATTTGACGTAACAATACGAATAACATTGCTCCCAAGTAAAATAAAAAGGCATAATTCCAAACATGTTTGGTTAGGTTATTAGTCAAGATATAAATTAATTCAAAGTACTCATATGTTGTTTAATATAAGTGAATTCTTTACTGAAAATTTAAGAACATAAAATTTTTCATTATTCCAGTTTATTATAATATAAAAATCTAAAAATTTCTTAATTAGTTCTGAAATAATAAGCTAAACACATCAATAGAATTAGTAAGTGTAACTCAAAAATACCACTCAGATAGAAAATGGGATCATAAATCAAGCTTAGCTTTTAAATAAAAAAGAACCATCAAAATCTGTACACTAGGAACGATTTTCGGAGATAAAAGACCTAAAGAAACATACGGACTTATTCAGTACCATCATCTTCTTTAATTCAATCAAAAAAAGTTTGTTAATTGTTTAACGTTTATTACAGATCCCAGAGTACAAGGATGGTTCCTATTCGACACTCCGCTGCCGACACTGGCCATGGTGATCGCCTACCTCGCCTTTGTGATGGTGGCCGGTCCACTCTGGATGGCCAACAAGAAGCCCTTCAGGATACAGAACGTTCTAGTAGCTTACAATGCTGGACAAGTTTTATTGTCACTCTACATGTTTTATGAGGTCAGTATTATTTGACTAATAGCGAACCGTGGGGTTGGTTTTAATCAAGTGAAACGTCAAACGTTGTAATAATGACAAAAAATGTCAATTCGCAAGTTTAAACATTTTTTTTGTATTTAATAATAAATAGTACTTGACCAAGATCCCATCTGATGTTAAGTGATGATGTAGTCGAAAGGTGCTACGATCTAGCTAAATGCCTATTCACTCTACTCTTGAAGGACCTCACGTAATACTCGTACTTGGACGGAAAAACCCATGATATAAAAGACGAAAATTATTTCTATTTTACTTTCTCTGAATTTTACATAATTTAACTGATTTATCCAGTGGTTTGGTACGCGTAGGTATAAACGTACGGACATTATTTGCTATTTATATCGACAAAAACTTTCTTATTTTATAATTTTATAATATAATAAAAAAAAACGAAAAGTAATTGAAAAGTATGTATAGGTATTTGCAAGACAAAACAACTAAAGTTTATTTGCCTATAACCAAATAAATATCAGGTGATTCGTAGCAAGTCTTACCTTTTTTCCACATCAAAAAGGCCTTTAAAACTTCCACTGAAAGTTAATAAATTTGACCACCGATACTTAGTGTATTGAGTTCAAAGGAAAATAGTGTGAAAGACGGCCGCTTCGCACTGCGTCGAGTCACTTTGTTGCGAAAACTTGCAGTCATTCGAGCGGACACGTCCTTCACGCTTCGAGAGTACCCTATTATTGTGCAGATTACCTAATAATGTTTCATCTTAATTCTAGAACACTTCCTTATATTATGCAAATAAATATATCTTGAACTATGACATTACTAGTGGTCGCCGGCGACTCCGTCCGCGCGGAATTAAAAAAAAAACATAAGTAGCCCATGTATTCTTCCAGACTATGATCTACATCTATTCCGAATTTTATCGATATCCGTTCAGACGTTCTGGAGATGCCTTAAAACAAACATCCATCCATCTATCTAAACATTCGCATTTCTAATATAAGTAAGATGTAAGATTTAGAATTGTTACTTTAATTATTTTAATACTGGTATTGGAACTTTGACAAGCTCGCTAACAATCAAAATAATTATTACAACCAAACAAAACAAAAATTGCATCATTTGTTCTCATACATGTTTTATCTTATCTTGAATCATACGGTTAAGAAATTGCTTTTTCTTAAGTCATTGAATAGTGTTACGAGCAATTAAATCCAAGGAGTAATAGCTAAGTATTTGCACACGTATAACTTTCACTTCTTACTCAAAGCAATCTACTAAATTAAATCTTATAATTGACAGTAAAAGAACTTTTACCTGTCTAAATAAAAATTAAAGTCCAAACAGTAATAAATAATATTTTTCAGCACTTAGCGTCCGGCTGGTGGGGTGACTACAGTCTCGCATGCCAACCTGTAGACTACAGCGAGAGTGATAAAGCCAGACGGGTAAGTGCAAACCCTACACCTACTCACATTTTATGTCTTCAACTTATCCTAGATAACACTGAACAACCGTCAGCGTGGTTGATTACGGCCACAACGAACCCGATAGGATCCAGCGCCTAGTATGTGACCTAATCCATTTTAATTTAATTCTTCGTGGAGAGAATCGAGAAAATCAGTAAAGTCCCGAAACGCCACTGCCTCTATAAACACAAGGTACTAACAAAAAAAAGGAATTGTAATAACATAAGGGATATATTTTGCTTTAAAATAACCGTAACACTAATTTTACGCAGCATTACCTATTTGAGAAGCTAAATACGTTATCTGTACATCTGTATATTAACGTTTTTAATATCTTAACTTTTGTTCGTAATTGAAATAAAAAGATTTATTGCGTCTATTGATTTCAAGCTTTTTCTATGTAAATCTTATCTGTATATTACGTTCTTTCACTTACACTTCAGTTATTTACTTTCTCGCTTTTCTCTTGATGATTATTTTGAAGTACGTCACTGAACCGACCCATAAGTACATTCTAAACGTCTTCAAGAAACCTGAGTCTGTGCGATGTAAGTGTTGCTATTCATCTCTTATAGAAAGTAAAAAAGATTAGACGAATCTTTCCGAAGCAAACATAGATTTAAAAAATATGTCTCACTTTAAAATTGAATAAGTCTAGCAATAGTTATAATTTCGCAAAAGATATAAATGAAATATTGTTGCATGTGATTTGCAAAGATGTTCCTAAAACCAAATCAATATGCTACGATTTGTTTTTATTTTAATAGAATCTATCTATAATTCGTTGCATTAAATTATAAATCTATTTATATATTACATATTAATTTGACATTTAAATTTCAAATTAAGTTTATATAGAATGGTGACAAATAATATTGTTGCCGTCTCTATTTATTCCTAGCTCTGTGTGTCGGTCAAGATCAGTCAATGGTACGCGTCTCACACCATAGAGTTGCACTTTCGAAATGTTGTTTGTTCCGAACGCGGATGAAAGAGAAATGACCCGCGCAATGCAAGGCGCGGCACACAAAATTATACATCGCACTTTTTCCTTAAATATTCACAAGTGTTCATTTACTATCGTCATTATAAAAGAAAGTTGTTATAAGTTTCTAAGTTAAATTCGCAAGTAGCAACTTGCGAAATAATTTAGTGCCATCCTTTCTTTGTTTCGTACTATTTTTGCATGACAGACAAACTCATAGAGTGTAACAAAAAAATTTAAAGGTTATTCGTAATTCAGCTTTGGAAAAAATTTAGCAAATGTCAAGTCACATAGGTTGACCGCAACCTTAAAAATCCATCTCCAGCAATGAACTTGTGTTCAATAAAGAGCGCGTAACGCGGGGAAAGCGGCTCGGTCATTCTGCGGTGCAGTAACAGCGGTTACGTCACTCACCAGCCAACAAAAACCGCCACCGGCCCACCATTGAAAGTGAAACTCATTAACACGGAGATCCAATTTAATTGGTCAATATTCTATTGGAATTGAAAATAAATCGCCTACATTTTGACGCATTTATTAGTGCAAGAAGTATAAGTGGTCGTCAAGTCATTCTTATGCTGATCGATTGTCCCTCTTCCACAACTCCTGATGGCGTTCGTCTGCTGTTTTATAAAATGGTTCTATAAATTCCACTAGCACGACCACGATTGTCATAGAAATAGCAGTCACGCACGACTTCAAAATCCAAAAGCTTAGGATCTTAACTTTGGGCCTAGCACAAATATTTGTGAAAATCGCCACCGTAATATCAGCGACAAAATTTGTATTAAAATGTACAGCGCCCTCTATCTGGTGTATAGCACACCAAAATCTCATACTAATTTTGACAAAATTGACGATGACGATAGGCGATTGTCACAAATATTTGTGCTAGGCTCATTAATTAATTTTCGAGTGTTGATAAAATTAATTTCTTTCATTTACTTACAGATGCTCCATCTCTGCTGGGTGTACTACTTCTCCAAGTTATCGGAGTTCGCAGACACGATATTCTTTGTGTTGAGAAAGAAGAAGAGTCAGATCACGTGGCTGCATCTCTACCACCACGCACTTACTCCTTTCGAAGCTTGGTTACTTGTTAAATTCATTGCTGGTAAGATTCTAACTTCATTTTTACATTAAAACCGATTAATATTAGGGTAGGAAATACAAGAACCCTAGATTAAAATTTTCTTTTGGTATTATTATCAGAGACAAACTAATATTTAAACCTAAATTATTACAGAATTCTTGTTTTCAACGTAACTTACAAAAAAATGTGTCAATTTCAAATAATATCATCATGATCTTTTTTCATAAAATTTTATTTATATTCGCATCTGTTCGAATCTTTTTCCTTGTATAACATTTTTTGTCATTTTACTGACGACCTTTAGCACTTTGCATTAAAATTTCCCTTTTCTTAAAAAAAGGTGAAAGTTAATTCACTCAATTAGGAACCTTAACAACTTACAACTAAATTAATCAAGCAATTGATTTACAAAAGTAATTTCAACACCACGCACATATTATATAATGGCTTTATTAATTTGATGTGCAAATATAAATCTAAAATCTCTGCTTACCCTATTCACGTGGTATCTAACAAAAGCATCAAATGCCTCAAACCTTTAAATAATTTAAAAACTTTTACTTGAAAAGGCCAAAAAATATTTTACCACGTGACTACCGAGAGCCTAACACGAATATTTGCGATAGGCAACCTTTATGACGTCATCGAAAAATATCTAAAAATTATGAGATGTGTTGGTGTATTTTACGCCCGGTACGATATACAAATAATACAAATTTTGTCGATGACGTTAAGAAAACTTTTTTAGGTTAGTGCAAGATGTTATTTATACAAATTTATGTTGTGCAGGTGGTCACGGAACATTCTCGAACGTGGTGAACAACTTGGTGCACGTGATCATGTACAGCTACTACATGATGGCGGCCATGGGCCCGCAGTACCACAAGTATCTCTGGTGGAAGAAGCATCTCACCACGCTGCAACTCGTAAGTACTCTAAATACGCTAACGGTGTTGTTCCCCTGATTTACTACTAACATTGCTGAAAAGAATACGAATGGAATGAGACCTCAGTTTTCATAATAGGTCAAACCCTTTAGGCTATAAGAGGTGAATCGAAACGGTCATACTCAGAATGAAAAACGTAACTTTAAAACTGAAAAAAGTGCTAACATCTAGGCGATACGTATGCTTGTTGTCTGCATATTACAAGAGAACCTTTTTACTAAAACATTCCGAAAGTATAGTTTACATTTAGGACAGCATACTTAGTTCCAATTAGTGTATTTTAGTGTTAACTATGAGCACTTTATGAAGGCTTAAGTCTCGCAAACTCGTAAGGATCGTGGCCGCACCTAGCTGACGGTGACTAGACCTGCGCTTGCGCAAACTTCTCGTATACCCGGCCAACGTATACTTATTTCCTTTCAATAAGTAAAACTGACATACTGAATACACACAAATTAATAAAACAAAAATCAATAAACAATATCACTCAAATTAGCCAACACTCAAAGTGTTATTTGCAGGTTTTGTATGAATTATTATGATTTATAACAAACACATACTACAATTATACTTATAAATATATAGAAATATACAAAATTCTTATAGAAATCAACATCAAGGTTCTCCATAGAGAACAATTTCCGTTACGATTATTTTTAAATTTATTCATATATAAAATATCAAAACACATACAATTATTGTAACATAAATCCCACAATTACACAACCCATATAATTCACTTGAAACATGTTACAAAACGAATGACATTGAAGGTACAAAAAGAGAGAATAAAACGCTAAGAACCGGAGCGGCAACCGCTGCAGCCAGCGTTACACTCCATGTTACACTCGATGTTACAACACGGCGCGGCGCCGGAACGCAGTATCCTTTCGCTGCAATCCCACCGCCGTGCATTCCGCTAACGTTCGGAAACGGACGAAAACCTGTTCATATTACCCGTAACTAAATACAGAAAGGACATGATGATTTTTATTTATTTCAATTCCCGGAACACTTTTCTTA